TGCGCATCACATTTGATCGATAGGTAGTGGTCATAAGTTGCCAGAACCAGCTCTGAGCCTCGCCACCAAGTCACCATCTAACAAAGGCACAAGTAGGACATCATTGGCAAGTTCACTGCCCTGTGGGTTTTGGCTAAGAACTGAGCTCCCTAACATTGCATAAGTAGGTCGGACTACGTATTACTTGCATCATGGCAGCCAAACCTCAGGAGGTTTTCAGGCTGCTATTCCAACAAGGGAAGCTCGTATTGGACAATCCACAGAAAGTCACACATATCCATGATAGAGGCGAGTCCTTTCGACTGAAGAGCGAACAAAGAAACCCACCAAGCCGAAGAGCCATTGGGGCTTCTAAACGACCAGAAGAGTTTCGTTTCGAACACGATGTCATCAGAATCATCGCCGAAGAACTCGACGAAGCGGCTGCCATGGTGCCTGACCTTCTTGAACCGGACAAGGACTTCATACCACGGCGCACGTTTGAACAGATTATGACACACAGCCGAGTCTTATCTGCTGTTCATGTACTCAAGTGCTTCAAAGGCGTACAGGACAAAGATCAGCTCGCCAGGGAAATCCGGTTTGGTAGCGCAGATGGTTCCAAGTCGCCCTGTGTCAAGCTACTTGCAATCTTGATTGGGATTGACAGAGCCGAGGATATGTCAATACACATGTGGACTGATGAGCTGAGGGACAGCTGCCTGCCCCTTCGAAAGGTACCCAATGACAGACGTCGAACACTTCAGTGCAGGAAGCACAAGGAACATCGTTTACTCAATAGCTATCGTCGACCAGAAGATCGTAATAGATTTTCCCAATGGACCTACTCCATGTGCTCTCCCTTCATCAAATGGGAGCATGGAACACATCAGCATTACCTTCTAGATACGGGAGATGTCTTCCCCATGGAGGTTATGGCCAAGGTTGAGGAAGAAGAGAGGAAATCGGATTCTGGTGGAAACTCATACGGAGGCTTCAGCGAGGTGTACAAAGTGAAGATTCATGAAGGTCATTCCGACATCGGAGTGCATGGGGTAAGTTACATTGTAGAGCAGATCTTGAGGAAGGTTCGGCCGTAGGTAATATCAACTAACAGTTTCACCCATCTAGATTCGGCACCCACAAGGCTACTTTGCGCTAAAGAAGCTCACATCTCATAGTCGCGACAGTTTCAATCTCGAGTTGTCGTCACTTGTTTCCACTACCCAGAACTATCAAAAGAAACACATCATACAACTCCTCGCCACATTCGAGGTCAAGAATGCGGCGACAAGAGAATCAACGTTCTATCTCTTGTTTGACTGGGCTGATGGAACTTTGAACAAGTTTTGGCAGAGCAATGAAGCTCTAGTGAGAGACAAACGGCATTGCAAGTGGATGGCAACTCAATTCTATGAAGTTTGCGAAGCTCTTCGTTATGTTCATAACGACCGCGAACCAACTGTACGATATCTAGAGGATCGAGACTCCAACAAGCAGCTGTATGGACGTCATGGGGACATCAAGCCAGGTAAATTGTCTATTCTTACCCCATATCGATACACAACTTACTGAAAGACTCTCTCAAGGAAATTTCCTTTGGTTCAAATCGGATAGCTTTCCTGGTCTTCTGGCGTTAGCGGATTTCGGTCTCGGGCGACTGCACACCCAAGTTTCCCGCTCAAAACAAGATCCTAACAGCCTGGAAAGAACGGCGACGTATCGCTGCCCCGAATTTGACCTGGAATTTGGTCTAGTATCACCAAGGTCCGATATTTTCAGCCTAGGGTGTGTATTCCTCGAATACGTCACCTGGTTTTTGCTCGGGCTCGAAGACGTGGAGAAAACCTTTCCCGACTTCAGATTGGAACAAGATAAACATGGTTTCGATTCTGACGTCTTTTTCTCAATAAAAGACAAGAAGGCTTACCTCAAGTCCTCGGTTACCAAATGGATTACGAAACTCAAGAACCACCGCGATTGTTCCTGGTACCTTTCGGACTTGCTTGATATCATCCGAGACCGCATGCTAGATCCCGAGTCCACAACGAGGATCCCATCAAGCTTGCTGAGCAAAAAGATGAAGGATCTTTTGAAGACATGTACTGTCGACCCCGATTATTATCTTAAGCCCAAAAGCTAAGATTCGCGAAAGCGATGGCTGAGAGGCCCAGGCAACCTTCCTAAGGCCCGGGAAGGTAAATGGATCTCACTTTTTTATGTTCAAGCTCAAACTCAGAAGAAGTAAGAGCTATTCTTCAGCCCACATTAGATCACGATGTTTGGATATCATCAATTACACGATCTAAGGAAGAAAGGGCGGGGCGTCTCGTCCTTCACATATATCTGACCTCAAAGCATTGACCGTTCTAGTTCGAAAGGTCAGAACCTCCACATCCCGAGCCTGAAAGCCAACTATTAATTCAATCGTTGTAGTGAACCCTAATGCGCTGTTCGATCGCTGCTAGCTCGCCCTTCAAACCCGAATACGTTAGTTCATTCAGTCTGACTTGTGGATTTCCCAGGGCGTAAATCAGACCTTTTTCAGTGGCTTGGGCAGCATGAGAATGAATCTATTGGCCCTTTCCTATTTCAAGCAATTTGTCAGTAAATCATGTACAGGTAGTAAATGAGAGTATTTTGTAATAACAGCAGTGTACCTTGACTTTATAATTCCCTTGGCCATAGATTGAATCCAGCGATGTTTTCAACTTTGCAGAATCATGATACCTCGCTCTCATCCTCTCCTCGAACGGGAATTCTGATCCCGGTCCTGGTTTCGTTGCCGCTTGTAATACTTCTGCACTACTCTTTTCAGGTTCTGCCTTCGGTTCTGATTTGTCACCGCGGCTCAAGCTCTTGCGGAAGAAAGACATCCCGGGCTCTCGAGGCTGTATAATGTGTTCTTCGTCAAGTACCGAAAAGGTCTGCTTCACAGCGATTTGGTAGAGAGGCTTGTTGGGTTTCGGTGTCCAAGTTGAGGCGGGAGAAGACGTGGTTCGAGACCTGAAAAGGCAAAACCGGCGGGGGCAGCATCCGAGCTGGCGTCACTGGTGAGGCTCTCTGTCCTGGAGAGGGTAAGATTATGCGTGCAGGTAACCAATCCCAACTTCGAGTCCCACCCGCCCTGTCTTGCATGATGCATGAGGAGAATCCCAATGGCGTCCCGACAACACATACATGAACACTACCTATCGCTCCACCTCGAATCTGCCCACTTACCTACACTAGGCCAAGAGATGTTTTGGCTGCTGCAATGCAAGTAAGCCTACATGGAACTAACTGGTATTGGTACCGGCCAGCATAGTGTGGGCAGGGGTTATGGAGGCATACTAAAGCGGCCAAAGGCGTTCTGCGAGGCAGGCTGGAGAGCAGGATGTCGCGAGAGGTTTGAAAGTGTAGAAACTATGAACGTCACTCCAGAAATTGCTTCCTTCTCAGAGTCGACTCTCGCATACTAATACATATATCTCTCAAAGGAGCCGAGATACATAGAGTATGCTATCAACGCTGTCGAAGAATCCAACGCTCGACATCATCCAGAAGTACCCTACCTCTGACGGACCACGCATTTCAGTACTCGTAGCGTTGAGAGCGTGGGAGCTATAAAGCCCTCTTGGATCAATAGTCACCGACACATAAAGTTGAAAGGATGGATTTACCAATTGAGACAGTAACATGGTCGGCATCAGATCTTGGTTTCTTTGGATACGCCGAGCGGAAGGCTATGGTGCTAAGATTCCTAGATGGCGAGGAGGTTTGTGACGACCTGTTCCTTGAACCTCTCATAGTGGCTAACACCCCATAGCCTACAACTCAAGCCCTTTATACCAAAGAAGACTGGGAGCGATGGTTCAGCTCTGTAGGTTGCAAGCATTTCCTTCTAGCCGAGCAACAATGCTAACAATAAGTGCCAACAGTCACAAGGTAGCTCTCCTAACTGGAAAGACTTGAAGCCAGGAGTGTGCGTGATGTGAGTCGAAAGTTCTGAGGATAATGGGCATCCAAACACCTTAGTCTACATCACAAGGAGGCAATGCTACTATAAGATATTATACTGATTCCGATTAGTCTGTGTAGCAGAGCTCCTCCGATCTCCGAAGCGCCTGGTAGAATACAATACCTCCCTTTTACAGAGAACACCTGGGAAAGAATCACCAGAGAGTTCCACGTATCTCGAAATGTAAAACGAACGATAGCAAGACTTGTCCCTTGCTTCTCTTCCACCCGTGAAGATGACGCGACGTCAGGTCATCTCAAGATGTGTTTGTTCTTCCTTCGGTACTGTCCGCCTGAAGAGTCTGACACGTATTATAGCCTTTTCTGCGCGCATGTCTTCAGGTCTTTCAGACGATCTAGCACTGTCTGCCACTTACATACCGAGTACCGGGACCACATTCGCTGTGGTGTATGGTTGTAACGATGATCAGCTGAGAAGTATTGAGTCAAAAGTGCGAAGAGCAGGTAAACAAGCCTTTCACCCACTCTTGATGTCAGGGATATTCGAAGAGCTGGAGAGAGCGAGATTGGTTGAGACAGTAGAAGATCTGTTGGATGATTTCACACTTCGATCAGAAAAGCTCGAAACACATCCGTGGAGCCCAGACGCAGATACGGACGGCTCAAAAGCACAACAGCATTTATCCCTCTGTGTTCAAAGCCAGAGTTTGATGGACCAAATGCGTATGGCAAAACGGCAATTGGCAAAGTTCTCGAAAGAGATTGGCATCATAACGACAGAGCTAGAGTCTCTTAGCGGGGTTGAATACATATACAAGAGTGAACCAAGGGCAGCAGAGGTGGCGAAAGTGGGGGAAAACATGAAGAAGAGGGTGGACGACATCATGATAGAATATGACGATAAGATTGATGAGTGCCAGATGATGATTTGCAACACATCATTGGCAATGCAAACAGTAAGTAATCTTTCCGACACGAGACTTTACTCCAAGAGTCAAAGGTAGTAACTATGGCAGGTCTGGAACCACATTGCAAGACAAGACTCAAAGACCAACACCAAGATGTCAAAAGCCAATGCTGCCATTGCAGTACAAACAAAGGTCGAGAGCGCTCAGATGAGGACGATTGCGCTTCTTACCATGATATACCTTCCTCTATCTAGTGTCGCAGTAAGTCATTTGTTCCAAGTTGCTAGGACCTTTTCACAAGTTCCCCTGTACTAAGGACGACCACAGGCTATATTCTCTATGGACATGTTTAACTGGGAGGCAGTTGAAGGCCAGTCTATAGTATCGAAGCACATTTGGCTGTTTGCAGTCCTCACAGTGGGTCTCACACTGCTCACTATTGCTGCTTGGTTCTTGGGAACACGGCGAGAGAAGGCCATGGCGGACAAGTCGGACAACTACTTCAATTCACCACAAAGACATGACACATTCGAGTATGTTTAGAGAGGACAGTCGCTCACTCTGGCTGAGATGAGGCAAGGACCTGTATAGGGCAAATCCATATTTCATCTATAGAGACGGCTACCAATGTAAGAGTTTTCGACCTGAATATTACCACGTGGGATGGTGTAGCTACACAGACGGTTATCTATCACTGGGATCCAAGCACGAGGTCAATAGAAGTCGGCGTGATACTATGAACCACTTTGTTCCACAATTGGCGTATGTACCATGGGAATTTCGCCCTATCATGCTCGAGGCTTTGGGTTTATCGGTTACCGCACCACAATTTCTGACTCTCGTAATTTTCATTTGAACGCCACCTTTATGGAGATGGTGTCGGAGAAAGGTTCTTTTTCAGATACGTGGTCAACGGGAGCGAAATCAATTTCATAATAGCTGCGACTTGGCAATTCGACATCTTGTCTTGGCAATGTGGTGGAAGGCATAAGGCCTTGCGAGCATGGGAAGAGGTAGCGAGCCGACATACACGGCGGAGGTTCAACTATGCATTTGAGAGTATCGATGCAGTGTCTCTACCCAAGCTGTACTGTAATCGCAGGGACCCGAAATCTCGCGAATTCATTGTCATTGAGCGGATAAATTTCGATTAATTCCAATAGGAACGAAGAATGAGAAGAGAACACACTCTCTTTCCACGTACCATGGTGTCCGTCTTGGTGAGGCAGTTTCCATTTTGCTAGCTAGCCTCGCCTGAGAAGTTTAGGTGAAGACGATAAGTAAAGAGAGCCTGCTTATTTGTTCTCGGCTTGCAGCGTGGCCACACTTGTAAGATGAGGACCTGAGGCGGAGGTGCCGGCATCCATCCCGTAACAGACGCCCTTCTCCCGGCTAGAGGCTCCGTTTCTTGGGTGCAACTAGTCGACGAGTCAGTGACTCTTTTGAACGTGTTTGCAGATCAAGATTGGGGCTTTCAATCCATACACGCCTTCTTCGCAACGAGAGGTGGTTCCGGCTGACGAGTGACACTTGATGTGCCAAGACAGAGGCTCTTCACCAGCCATATAGTAGCTTGTCACCCAACTATGTTGTTAATAACAAGATAATTTACCTAGTCTATCTTCAGTCCACGGTGAACAGTGCAGGCAAACACGTCATGAGTTGTGTTGGTGGAGCAAGGACTAGGAAGAGGAAGGCAAGGTTCAAATTGACTATTCAATTTACAGGGATTTTCATCCTCTTCATATCATTAAGCAACGAATGCAAGGGCGGCTGCGATGGTAAACCCAGGAACCGTGCGAATAAGGTAATCAGAAACCCTATTTGTGTCTATATCCGTAGGGTTCTCAGGAAGTAGAATTGACCGGCGTCTGAACGCTGGGTAGTTCAATTTTTTGAAGCTCATGGACCCCACATCTCGAGCCGTCAAGAGAAGAGGAACAGTTCGCAGAACTCAATGCTCAGTAAGAATGCTCGTTGTTACCTAAACGGCTCGTATTTCTAGGCTGCCATTTATGCAATGTCATGACCAGCTGAAGCTAAAGTTCAACTGTTAGGCTAGGTTGGGAAAAACAAATAGCGTGGTTCTTGGACGTCTTGCATGTATCCGTACTAGGCCAGATGAAGAGATGTTGAGAGGTGTGGCCGTGTGGGAGGAATTGAACATTGGTGCTGACAGACGCCGATCGGAGGCCGCGAATCGCGGCCCCGCTCTCTTACAGGCCTGTTGACGATGCCGCGGAGCCGAAATGAGGGTGGAGCTGGCGCGCGTGGGAGTTGAATGATGGCCTGCAAAGGGGAAAATTGCGACCAGTGAGGATCGCGATGGCCCAAAGATACAGTTTTATACCTCAGAGAAGCCTCACTTGAAGTGTGTGTACGGATGCTCCGTACTGGAATGAAAGCGGGGCTTGCTGATGTAGGTAATGCTCAATGGAATCCTTGCTCGTTCATTGTGGTCATGAATGTCTGAATGGTGGGTGAGTGAGTGAGTGGGATGGAACTTGGAAGTGAGTGAGCAACGGAGATTGAGTAAGAGAAGGCCGCTGACTAAAGCCCGTTATCAAGGGGGTTGCTTAAGGGAACTCGACGAATTGTGGCTGATGGCGTGCGCCAAGTCGCCAACCAACGGCTGCAAGCTGCATGGACGGAAGTACCGAGGCAGAGGTATTGACTGGTGAACCTAAGACTGAATGATGGCCGATGGGCAGTGCGATATGGACCGTAAAGTACTCTGTAGCCTTCAGAGATTGCAGCGAGCTATTCTTAGTCTCCAAGACTTGACCCTTTTTCCCGGCCAACTTGGCCGTTGCAAAGATTTCTGGGCGCGCAGCAGAAATAACAGACAGCAAGTCAGCAAATAGGGGAAAATCCCAGTGGTGCGGATCCGGTTGGTACAAAGGCAGGGATGCAACGTGGAGTTTGGCAGTGGCAGACCGCAGCGCATCACAACAGGACGGAAGGTGGGTGGTGCGGCGTGCCGTGAACAGTGGAACGATGGCTTGGTTGTGTGCGTGGAGGGATGAGGTAAGGTGTGGCGACGTTATACAGTAGGGCATTTGTTTACTGAGTACATACAAATTGCAATTTTGCATCATTTCACGTAGTCCATGATGCATCAACTTGAAGGTTGTCAAGTTCATTCGGAATGGCAAATATCTCTTGCCAAGAGTTGAGATACTCCATTGAGAGAGGGGCCGCGGAAGGAATCAACGGGAAGGATGAGAAACCTCGAAGACCTGGCCTCGGGGAGTCCACCAGTGGTTCTGGACTTAGGTAAGCAGCCAGGGTAAGAGGAAGGCAAGTGGGAAAATTAGAAGGAACCTGGCATGTTATTGTTGTGTGTTCCTACTTGCCTGGTGGGAATTTGAGACAGGAAGGGGAAAAAAAAGAAAAAGGAAAAAAAGGTAAGGTCGGCCGAAATGAGATGAGAAATGGGCCGTGCATCCGGTAGTGGTGATTCTGAATTTCTGATCATGAGCAGGGGAACATTGCGTTAATCCTCACCGGGTCTAGTGTCACAGTGACTGTCACGGCTGGGAGCTCCAAAAACCTCCTTCCATTTGGGCCTTGGCATTCACTGTGACTGCTTGGTTTGCAGCCCTGCACCTTAAGGTAAGGTACACTAAGGTGCGATCTTCGATGCTTGAGAGACGGGGCCCGCTAGGTGTTCCGTACCCCTTACCTCCTTGTCTTTCTGCAATTAGCAACTGGCACCACTGGGACCACGTACTGTGTACATAAACAATCTGATCATCATAGATTCGTTCAACGTTTGGCCGTGCAAACGACACATTCATTTATCGAACAATCGAAGTGATGTTTGCACTTTACTCCGTACTTGCAATCTGATTGTATCTTGATTTCACGGTCGTTGTTTCCATCGCTCACCTCAAGCACGATAGGCAAGATACTTACGGATAAGGTACTTAAGGTAAGGTACCTTAAGATAGCTGCATGCCAAGGTCCTTCTCAAGGTACCTAAGGTATCTCAAGGTACGGTAATTACTCCGTACCTTTGAGCAAGTGGGAAGGTGTAAGGTAACTTGGGAGAGGCACAGCTAGCAGGTGCCGGAGCTACCCATGTCTGCCGCTTGCCCAGCCGGACCTTCTTCTTCGACCTCGACCGAGCACGTTCTTGCCCTGGCATCTGATACTGGATGCGGAACTTCTTTCCCTTCCATTTGGATTTGGCGCTTGTTTCTGTTACCCCCAACCTCATCTCGAAAGCTGCAACACTTGGAAATCGGGATCAATGTTTCACTCACCCAACCTGACCATCTCCATCCACTAAGTCTCTTTCCCAGCAGCATCTCCTTCAGTCGTCCTGTAAGGTGTCCCCTCGAAAGCAACCTACCTACGGAGTGCACAGTGAACAATCAAGGCCACATTCGCCATACCCCAACGGTTCACCACCACCACCGCCTCCTCCTAGCCAATGGCGCACGTCTTCAGCTCGACGCTTCTGCATGAAAACGATGAATGAAGCAAAGCTGCAAAGCTGCTCTCTCCATGGCCCCACCACCAGTCCACCACAACCACCACCAATAACAAGGAGCATACTGTGTATTAGGTCGAGACCAGGATGGCGCCGCATTGCCGGAACAGAAACATAGTTTCGAGGTCGTCGAGGGTTTGCTGTCCCCACGCTGCCTGCGACATACACTACGTCCTGCGCTTGCTTCCCCTGCACCCACCCACCATACCTAGCACCAAGCAAGCAAGTTGGCAACCACGCAACCACTGCGCGCGGCGCGCCCCCTTTGTCTACCACCGACCCTCTGACCAGGAACGGCGAACTGCGGTCACGTCCAACCCATGCCGCCCTCGAGTCAAGCTGTCGCCATGTTGCGTCTGCCCTAGCATTTGCGGCTGCACATCCCTTAGCCATACCCACGTTCACGCCTAGGATACACACTCTACCCGCACACTACTCCATACGCCTCTACTACGTACGCCTCTCCGTACGCCTCTACGCAACGACTGTACAAATATAGATACTGTACAGAATGTACGGAATACGGAGTACAAATGCTCTGTACGACTACCTTACATACGGAGCGGGAAGATTATGGACCAGACTGTGCAGCTCAAGGCCCCTACCTCTCTCCCTCCCATGGTCCTTCCATCCATGGGCCATCAGGTCCTGTCACTGGCACCATAAGCCACCTCATGGACCATCCCCAATCGCACAATGCTGCTCCCAATTCGGAAGCGTCGTGTCCCCGGTCAACCTCTAGCGGTGGCCGTCATCGCCGTGGGCCGTGGGCCGTCGTGGATCTTGGACCGTGGGTCGTCGCTATGGAATTGTGGCTGCTGTTGGGGCAGGGCCGGACTGATGTTTGGTCTGCCCCCAAACTCGATCCCAAACTCTAAGCCCATTCCTCGAGGCCTTTTTCGTCCTGGTTCCTCCTCGCCGTCGTTCCAGACCTACACGCCTCCGCGCCTTTCCCTTCTTGTGCTTCGTCAAGAAGCCACTACCATTCTTGTAATGCTTATCCCCCCCCCCCCCATCTTCTTTCTTCTCCTAGCCTACTTTACTACCTTAGTTTAATACTCCGTTTCCTCGCCTTGTTCCCGAGTCCCTCCTCCCCATCTCTGCCAAGGAGACCCGTTGGACCTGTTCCCCTGCTCAGTCAACGTCAGCTCGTCTTCGGTCCAAGCCCTTGCAGTCGTCGTCCGATCTTGGATCCTCTGACCGCGCATGTTCCAAACAAAACTCGACAACGGCCGGACTTGACACCTTGCTCCTGTACAGCTGCCGTAACATCCAGTCTCGATTAGGGCTAAAGGGAATCTTTTTTGGACATTTAATATCATCGTGAGTTTTGTCTTGGCATACGACTTTGGCCTAGACTTACACAGTGATAGCCTCCAGGACCTACTTAGATACGTATTTGTATTCCGAAGACGACGACGAAGACGACGACCTGGACCACGACCTCTCGAACCGAGCCTCGCTCTATTGATACGACCGAAAATACTGCAATGCCGAAATCAGGGGACTTTCCCTTCGCTGAAGAGCGGTCTTCATCTTCCGTAGAAGACTTTGACCTCGATGACGAACATAAGGAACCATTGCTGCCCGGCTCGGCCACAATCTCGCGTCGGAGGCAACGAGGAACACTGCTTGCGTGGCTCAGAGGACGGCCAAAGTCCTTGTTGAGAAAGTTCCGTCGACAACCTCGATCCCTCCCACGACTCTTACTCCGATATACGTTCATGTTCATAATCTTCATCCTTGTAACAACACCGATATTCTTCCCGTCGTACACGCGCCATCCGAAGCACTACAAAAACCTGAGAAAAAGATGTCTGGTGTCCGACAGCCTTTCTGGCTGCGCCAACATGCAAAACGAAAAGGTATTCATTGCCGTCAGTTTGTTCGACCCAGAGGGCAAGATTGCAGGGGGAGAATGGGCCAAGAATGTCCTAGACCTAATCCACATGATTGGCGAGGACAACACATTCCTCAGCATCTACGAAAATGACAGCGGCGACTTGGGTACTGCTGCTCTGGAGGAGCTTAAGAAAAATGTGCCTTGCAAGCACAAGATCGTCAGCGAGGGTCAGGTAGACTACAGCGACTTCCCACATGTCACCATGCCTGATGGAACACAGAGGTTGAAACGCTTGGCGTACCTGTCCGAGATGCGCAACCGGGCGCTCTACCCATTGGACCAGTACGACACGGATGCAGGGATTGTGAAGTATGACAAGATCTTGTTCCTCAACGACGCGCTCTTTGCGCCGGTAGACGCCGCTCATCTACTGTTCAACACGAACGCGGGCGAAGACGGCAAAGCACACTACCTCTCGGCATGCTCCTTGGACTATGACTGGAACCCCTTCCTCGAGTATGATCTTTATGCGCAGCGCGATGCTGAAGGGTACTCCAACGGCATTCCAATCTTTCCATACTTCACGAACAAGGGCCAGGGAATCTCGCGTAAGGCTATGCTCGCGCAGACAGATGCGGTCCCCGTCAAGAGCTGCTGGGGTGGAATGGTGGCTATGCAAGCCAAGTACATCCAGAACTTGGATAAGAAGCTGCCAACCAAAGACTGGCAAGCTGTTGCGCACCACGTCATTAACCCTGATCACCCTCACAACACGACGACACCAGTCCGATTCCGCTACGAACCCGAGGTCTACTTTGACGCCTGCGAATGCTGTCTGTTCCTTGCTGATGTTACGAGTGTTGCGGATAAGGCCGGAGAGCCAGACATGGGCGTCTTTGTGAACCCATACGTGCGCGTAGCCTATCGCAAGAGGACACAACGCCTCGAACGTGTTATTCGCCATTGGGAACGGCTCATGGCCCTGCCGCAGGAGATCATTACCTACTTTTCACGATTCCCGACCCCGAACCCTCACAGAGAGGTTGTTGAAGGGCAACGCTTCATGGAAGAGATTTACCAACGCCGGGAGGGGTGGAAGATGGTTGAGCGGACGGGGCGCAACGGCATGTTTTGCGGAGTCCGGGAGATGCAGCTCATCAAGGAGGGCCCGCGCAACGGACGCAACTGGGAGAACCACTACAACATCCCATGGGCGGAGCAGCAGTTGAACTTCCCCATCTGATTTTACTCTCGATTTTGACGGCGCTTTTATTGATTGGTGTAATGGGGGACACGGCGCTTGCGGTTGGTTAAACTATGAAGCATCAGCATTATTCTTGTTCGGCAGCATTGAGTGGATCAACCTGTTGGGTATAACGACGTTGGCTCAATAGGGAACAGGTTGTTGGGTACGGAGGCTGTATGCCACCCAAAAGGGGGGGGGGGGGGGGCGAAAAGGGGCAATGGGGTTTTTGGAAAAGTGTCGTAGACGTACTGGCACACTTTGTGCACCTTGATACCACTTTCGTTATACTTTTGAATACACTACTATCAACGATTCCTCTCAGTTGCCGCTGCTACTACCCATTGATCACATCAACCGCCCCTGGTAAGAAAGGCGCACCGCGTCAGTCCAATTAGCATTGGATGGGTGTGGGTTCCCCATACACCTCTATTGTGCTATTTTGTGTAGACAAATAAGCACTTTGGCCGAACATACTATCCTCACGGTGGAACACATCTGACTTGTACTGATAGAGTCCTAACCACTGAACGTCCATCTTTTGCGCCAGTGAAGCCGGAAAACCACATCCCATGTCGTACTTTTCAAACACAGGCTTCATACCGAGGATTATGTAAACGAAAATCGACTTCATCCATAATTGACTGTTGAAATGGACCCCTGTTTGGTCCTTGCTACAGTGCAGTAACAAGACGTGAAGCAAACCAGACGAGCCCAGACCCAAACCCAGACCCAGACCCAGACCCAAGCCCAACAAGTAAGTAACCTATTTGCATTCCCACCCCATGGTCCGAAAAAAACCCAAACGTTACACTAAAGAGAGGGATAACGAGAAGCTAGCCTCCCAATACAAACATGCGGACGAGGCGCGTATAGACAGAGAGCAATCCGATAGACAAGACGCCCGCCCAAGAACCCAAAGTCACAAATAGCAAGCCCAAAAGTCCGCTCGCTCAACAACAATCAAGGTGGTATCTTGGAGGAAAAAAGACACTGGCAAGCCCCGTACTGAAGATGGGAGAGAGAGAGAGAGAGAGAGAGAGAGAGAGAGAGAGAGAGAAACTCTCATGCCTGCGTGAAGCATGCTTCGAAAGAAGAAGCAGCCAAGACAGACTTAGGCGGCGGCCGGGGTCGCCTTGGCCTTTGTGGTCTTGGGCTTGGTCTCCTTCTTGCCTGCCTTGGTAGCAGCGGCGACCTTGGTTTCTGCCTTCTTGGCTACCGACTTGGCCTGCAAAAGGTGTGTTAGTGATCAAGATCAAGTTTTGAAATGGCAAGAAGGATTATTGGAATAAGAGTGTCTATGTCATAGAGTTGGGGCAGAAGTATTGGTTTCGTGTGGGAGGCGCGACTTGGTTGCCCAAAATTCCCGAACACGAACACAACATGATAGGACTGAATCCAAATATCAAGGTTGTTACCAGGAACAGAACAATTTGAAGGTAGTTGTGGTGGAGAGAGAGAGAGCTGCGCGCCTCCAACACGTATAAGGCAGAAAGAATGCACAATGAACATACCTTGGTAGCGACAGAGGGGCCCTTCTTGGCGGTGGTGGCCTTCTTCTTGGTGACGCCAACAGGCTTTGCGGCCTTGGCAGCAGTAGAAGTGGTCTTGGGCTTCTTCGCGGTCGTGGTGGTCGTAGTGTTCTGCTTGCGAACAGGAGCGGTGTCGACGACTGGGAAGAGACGCGGCTTGGAGTTGCCGGTCTGGGAGCGGGTTCCTTCACGTGCCATTTTAACGGTTGGTCTGGTGTCGCGATGAAATGTTAGTTACTGGTTTACGATGACGAGATTGACGCGATCGCGATAGATGTAATGCGACGAGAAGAAGAGGTTGTGGTTGTGAATGCGCTCGTGAGAAAGAGACTTGAAGAATCGAGTAGAAGGAGGGGAAACCTGAAGGCGTGTGGCGATGGCGCGATGGGCGGGAAAAACGGGCTAGAGTTGGTAGTTTTTGGAAGACTTACGGATGGATGAAGATGATGAAAAAGTGACGCGTTAGAGCTTTCTGAAGCTGCAGAATCGAGTTAATCCAAAGGAAGATGGAAAATGGTAAGTTTGCGACGAAGTGTGGTGGAATGGCGAGGTGTTGTTGTGAAAGAAGAGAAGATGGGAGGTGACGTGGTTTCGTGTTGCGGCGCGAGGGGAGGGGAGGGGGGAGGACTGCGGATATGGCTGATTGAGTGCTGGCGGTCGGTGGTGCTGGTGGTGGACGGTCACAAGGGGCACACACACACACACGTCTTCACACACACACACCTTTGCACGGGAGGAGCGGTGTCGGAACACATCTATTTGGAGATTGAATTATCGTGGGCGATGTGGAGGGAATTGATTTTCATATTGTTTATTTTCTTTCGGCTAACTAAATTATCTTTCAAATGAATGGAGTAAAGCCGTGCCTTCTTTTCTAGTGAATTTGCGAGAGGATGAAATGGAAGGAGCACCTTGTTCACCTGCGACGGCAGGATGGAGGGGATGGGGAAGAAAAGAGGCAGACGGGAGGCAGAGGCAGAGAGGTAAGGTAGGAAAGAGCGGGACAGCCGCCAGTGAGTGAGTGAACTTGGAGGGAAGGCAGGCACAAGACACAACACCACTTACCTTAACACATGGAAGATCTGGATACCTTACGTTGGGATTTCCCATTGCCCGAATGGGCTGCTGCGTCTGATACTTTTCTTTCCTTCCTTAGGTACCTACCCTTTGCTATCTGGATACTTTAAGGTAAGGTACCTACCTACCTTACTGTCCGGCAAGTCCTTCCTGCTCTTTGGCCCAGATACCTGAATTTGTGGTGGTTTCCCCCCGTCATTTTTGGGCGTCATATCACACACGGCAAGACGGCCTGATATTGCCCCTTCCCACTTTCATCCATTTCTTCACCACACCTAAGGTCAAAGTTGGCAGTCGCCAGTGTCCCCCCTCCCCCCCCTTTCTCTTCCCTTGGCTCTATCCTCCTCCATTTAGTCCTCTTCAATCTTCCATTTCTTTCCCCCTCCCGTCCTGCCCTTGTCGACCCTCTCTGATTTGAACCTTCCTCACGTAAACATTTTGTCTTTCCCCTCTTTTTGCCTTTCTGCTCTATTCCGCATTTCACTATGATTTTCTTCATCAATTTCCCCGTCTCGGCGCAGACCCGGCAATTCAGTGATGCCCAGCCTTGTTAATGAGCCTGCGTCCTTTCTACCTCCCACTTCCTACGTTGCTACCTCTCTTCGTCTTCTTTGCCTACATTTCTCATGATGTAGCCATGTCCTCGAGCGCTCGTCGGCATGAAGACCTCATCTCTCGATTCGTCACAGTGGCTATCGTAATCAAGTTTCTATCAAGATTCTGTCACGGCAATCTCGTTAGATGGTCCCGATAGACCAAGCACATGATGGACCTAAGCGAAGGACGCGCCAGTTCTAGACCGACCGAAACCATCCCCGGCACGCGACGTCTGGCGCCCAACTCCCCGGTCTCTGGAGTCTGACGCTCTGGTCTCTCGTTCCCGGGCTCATTCATGGCCATGGATCAGATGCCTTACGGTCCATCTTGACCTTTACCGATGATGGATGACGGGTGCCTTCGACGAGCTTGCCCTCCACCGTGTTTACAGTCTCGACCACCGTTCGCGGTGACTCTACTCAATATCGACTCTTCATCCTTCTTCAGCGGCAAAGCCCGCCTGAACCGTGCAGCGCAAGCGTGTCCCATGACCACAGCAAACGCCACGCCCACTCCTGTCTCCGTTCACCTTGCTGTTCCTGCTTCACATGGCGTGCTCTCCATCGCAGGGGAGCATTCCCAGATGTTGAGGTATCGGACGATGGAGACAAGAATGACCAAGAGCATTCAACGAAATGGGAGGATGTGACGATGCCAAATAGACCGGCCGGTTCCCTCGCCATTTCCTTACCCAATGGCCCACGCACGCCGCCTCGTACACGGGATGGCAGACAAAGGAAACGCCCTGGGCTGCAGGGCATCGTGGCTACAGCGATGATCGTCCAACGGCGCGCCCCAATGCCTCCCCGCCGCGCTGTCTGCATCAAGGGTCTGTCCGTGCTGGCCCTGCTGCTGCCAGAACGTTGAGCCCCGCAAACGCGCTTCTTCAGGAGCCCACATTGGCATACCCCTCACGCGAGCGACTGTTTTCGAAGCAATTCAGAGGTCAGAAGGCCTACGTTCATGAATCGATGCTCAGCACTTGCAGATGTGACATGCCCCTTTGGGTATCAATGTTCAAAGCCAAAAGTTGGAAGAGGAGTTCAATTTCATAATTCACATCTACGCTTAAATCCTTTCCACCAACTTCAACCTCTCGTTATGGCTGTCACCCGCAACATACAAGTGTTCCCCGCCGTCCCAAGCTTGCTCTGGGTTCATACCGATAGGCGTGCTTCTTCAGGTCTTTGTGCAAGCTCTTGAGCTCCTTGTTGAGTTTTTTACTACGTTCCAGTATCTCTCCTACTCCCTGCATCATGGCATCGTCTGCGCCGTTCAATTTGCTCACTTTCTCGCGGATCGCCTGCGTCCGCCGTCGCTCACACGACAAGTGGTCAATGTTGACAGTCGTCACTTTGCTGACCTCGACCATAGTCACCCCGGGTCGTTGCGCCACTGCCTGGACCTGGCGCCATTTGGTCTGTAGTTTCAGCTGCAGAATGAACCCCCTGGCTGTGAGCCGTAATTGCTCGACTTCGGCGCCAACTGTAGGTTACAACTGGTGTCAGTTACCTCGATAACTTCTCAAGTGGAATTCAGGACGATGCTTACACTCAACAACACTTTTGCTAAGCTCGGTTCTCGTGCGGCTGATCTCCAACGAGCGGCGAACAAGCTTGCTTGCCTCATCCTGTTGCCGTTGGCGATTTGAGGCCCTGACTTTGGTGACGAAAGACGCCAGCACTCTTCTCCACCATCTTGCCTTTCTGGGCTGAGCCAACTCCTCTCGGTCCTCGTACCTCGCCGAATCTCTGACATCCTCGATTTCAACAACAGTCACTTTGCCTAATCCCCAATCTTTCTCGCCACAGAGAGTCTTCTCGGACGCCGACTCGGATGTGACCGACATTCTGTCTGGTGCGGCGGTCCTCCTTTCAGACGCCACTTGTAGTTGTTTGGCAAGCGTCACCGCCTTATCCACTCGACCCTCGACGCCTTGTGATTGCACAGCAACTTTGCACAAGGAAAGAAGCTCGTCGTACCACTTGACGACCTTCTTCGTTGTGAAGACGGCCAAGTCAACATCGAGCTGAAGAGGGTCGGGCCCGAGAACCGAAGAAAACATAATGGCATTCCAGAGAGGTTGTGTGTTGTCGTCGCTCCGATCAACTCGCCTACGAGCTTCTCGAAGGGCGACGGAACTCGAGGTCGTCGCCAATGTCATTCCACAAACGGGGTCTGTCACCTGAGCATGCTCTTTCAGCGTTCCGTGCATAGTCAAGACTCAGCCGGGTTGGAAGCATACCTCCATGTACTTGAGGAGAAGCTCCTGGGTTGCCTTCTGCGCACTGCCACTTGGCCCGCCCTGTTCAAGAGGGTGGCAGTAGTATCCTGCCGGCTCGATACCCCACGGCCTCCTACATTCACCGGCAATGCGAGGATGACAAGCAAACGAAAAAACCTTTCCCCAATCGAGTGTGCCTCGCTCGTCGGCATTTGCCCTGGCCAACCCTGACATGATGTCTCTGAGGGCTTCCATGGTATCCAGAAACGCACGTCTCGCAACGCCCATCTGGTCGTAGGTAAGCCATTTATGAGCAAACCTCATCTATTTCATGTTAGTGATGTCTGAATGAGAGTGTTCGTGGTTGGGAAACTGTTGACTCACTTCCAAGAACACAATCTTCGGCGTCTCGTCTTCGATATTTTGCCCACGTCTCAACCTTCTCCCCAGCAGCTCCCATCCTACCAATTGCTTTTGGTGCTTGGGGAGAAGCAGATACCTCCACAAGGATGTCAAGCATTGAGGGATATCATCTCTAGTCGCGTAGTAGCGGCAGTTCAGGTCGAACCTGAGTCGATTTTTCGGCTGCTGTATGGACTGCCGCGGAACCGCCTTGGTGTTAGTCGTGTCAGGCTTGACCCCGCGAAGCGGCTTCTGGACAGTGATATTAATCGAAATCGGCATCATGAGAGAGATACTGAGCTTGGTAATGAGAATCTTGAAATGGGAGCACCCTCACGGGCTCATATGCTGAGGAGGCACGTACCCTTATGAGTGTGGCACAACCTTGGTAGGCCAGGTCCCGGGCTGCTCAGCGACCCTGAGGGCCTTGATTGTGTTTTATTTAACTTGTAACTCTGGGTGGCTTACGCATCGCATGTGCCTTTCGCTGGGTTCGGCGAAGATGGCTTCATGAGTCGGCGACATTTTCTCCCGAGTCGAAAGCTATCGGGTCCTTGAGGCCGTGAGGGAAGACAACTTTGGCTGACGTCTTCGTCAACCCGGAAACTCTCTCAGCAGCCACGCAAGTTACACCACCTTGACGCCGTAAGTATCCCGGCCTACTTGACTCATGATTCGAACCCTGATTATGATGGACTGAAAACAGCCGAGGGTGGCGTTTGAATCCTCGCAGGTTTCACAGCCGCACAGCGGTTCGGGGATTCCAATCTTTCGGCGTCGTGCCATGGGCTATTTATTGAATACTATTGCCGGCTGTTTCTTCCTCATCCATCATGAGTCAAATTGGTCGTGAGCCTAACTGCCGGTTATCGTGCTTTTTGCGACTAAATTTTGGTTTTCCTTCATCCTCTTACGGCTCGTGACACGACCTTGGTGGAGCTTCGAGTGAATTTCTTGATGGAGTCCACGGTCTTTTGATATCTCCAGAGGCGACAGCGAAGATTCCCATCGGTTAGAGAGGCCTCCAGCTACCTATATGATTAACAGTGCTTCAAGGTGAAATTGGGTCAATACTAAACACTCTGCAAAGTTTTCCATGTCAGACGGCCATACCAATGACTCAATAAATTTGGAATTGAATTCAGAATTTGGCATCCAGCAGTTTTACACTCTCACAAGCACGAGGCTGAAGCTCGAAGTGTCCTGCATCTTTCCCGGACACCACGGGTTCAGCTTACAGTGAAAGAGGTTCTTCGACGGAGGATGGTCGATGTACGTTCGAGACCACGCCGCTGACGCGGTACCGTCGCGGAGAAGCTGGCCGGAAATGACTTTGCCATCTCTGCCGTCATCCGCTCCCCCTCGCGCTACATCTTCAACATCTTTAGAACAGATTTACACTTATGCAAAGTCGGAAATGATGGAGTTACACAATATTTTGGCAATGACCGAAGTTGAAAAAGCCTACAACTAAGAGATAAACGTAATCAGTGATTGGGATGGCGGTTTGAAGATGACCGATTGAGAACTGATCACGAGGCTTTAGAATGATCTCGCCGCTGGCTTCTCCCGGAGTGACGCAGATCTCCGAATTTTCCAATCTCAAAGCTCTTTGAATTGTATAATGATGGATTTATTAGACTTGAAGAGTTCACGATGCATCAATGCGAGGCTGAGGGGCAAGCTGGCCAACAAAGTGAAGTCGTATCCTCCAGGTCTTCCGAATCACCTATCAGCAATGAATCGCTTCAATTCCTACGTCCATTCTCGGTGAGACTTCTAGATTCATGTTGTGGTCTCTCCAGTGAGCCATTATACTCCTTGTTTCCGAGGGAGATAGTTGACCAAAATGTCATCTATAAGATGCTACATGAACTGCGCAAAAAGGGGGATAAGTATCATTTGCTTTTGTCTATTCCAACTCAGAGATGGTTTACTCAACCTTGGATCGTGCCAGTAATTGTCTCAAACACTTCGTATATGTCGTATCTTCTTCAAGGTCTTGATCAGCTATTGCCCATCTCCCCCCTCCACCGCGCGGCAAACCTCAACTGCACCCCGGCACCTATAAGTGCGATCAGCTGAGCCACAACACACACAGTAAAAGCCCATCCCACACCGATCCCGCTCAGCATAGGCATCACAAAACTCGTGCCACCAGCGGCGAAAAGACACCTAGCGAGGTTGACGCTAGCGCTAGCCGCAGCGCTGCGGTCGGGGAAGATGTCGATGAGGTACGTCATGACCAGAGACTGTATCGAAACGGCGGTCCAGCCCGTGATAAAGGTCGATATGATGGGCACTGCGATGTGTACCTGGCGAGGGAAGTTGATGGTCCAGCCAAAGATTGCAATGGAGACGCATTGGAGAAGCGCAAAGATTGGTATGAGACGAAGTCGTGCCTTTTCGATAGGAAATTCTTGGTTGGCGTCCGAGATCGTAAGGGTGTTGCTCTCTTGGTCGTTGTTCGCGTCATGCTTTGCCTTGACACGCTGATAGTCAAGGTCAAGAAGCTTGCCCGTGACCAGCGTGCCGATCATGGAGCCCACGCCGTTTGCGATGAACGTCAGGCCAATATGGGTTTCTGATAGGCCGTAGCGTGACTTGAAGAGACTTGACATGGCTGTGATGCTCATCTGCCATACCGCGTAGTAGATGGCGAGAAATAACACGATAGGGGCAGCGCATTTGTTGAAGAGGATCCGAAGAGGTCCGGTGGTGTCAACGTGCTTGGTAAGTGCCATTTTTGGAGTTGGCGTGTCGGCATGCCACGATACCTGTGTGGCTCGTTGATAGATGATTAAGGGGTACTTTCCGAGAAAACCCTTTGGTGTTCTAGTACCGTTGTCGACGACAGACCTCAGAGTCTCTGGTAGTAGAAGTACCAGAAATGCGAGAAATACAGCGCAGTAAATTGCAAGGAACCAAAAGATACTCCTCCATCCCAAAGATCCAGCTAGAGCGCCTCCGATGACAGGCCCAACGGCAACTGGAACCAGCAAGCCGGCCTGGAAGACGCCCATGTACCCGCCCCTCTCTTGCCGCGTCGTAATATCGCTAATGACTCCAGAGCCTATGGCGATGGTACTCGCGCTTCCGGTGCTCTGTAAACATCTGAGGATGATTAAGGTTGCGTAGTTCTTGGTTTCTGCGAGACCGATGCATGCGCCGAGGAATACGACAAAGGTGAAGCAGTAGGCGACCCGTCGGCCCTTGACGTCGGAGATTGGACCCCATATACTTGGTGCCAGGCCTTGGAATATGAGGTAGGTGGTTACTGTGAGGTTGATGAGCTTTACTGAGACGTTGAGGTCGTCGGCGATGGTGGGTAGGGCTGGGAAGTAGATGTTTGAGGCGAAGCCCGAGACTGTGGTCTAGATTAGCAGAGAAGCCGAGGTCTTTTGCATCACTGGCTATACGAACAAGTAGCTGCAATCGATACTAGAGATACGATCACTCTTTTTTGGCCTTTATCGAAGATGGTGTACGGTTCGTGCGGCTGCGTGTTGCTCACATTGAGGGTTTCTTCAGCACTTTGAGGGGCCATCTTTGACCTTTGAATTTCCAAGTAGGATTACAACTTTCAGAAATGGTCTAAGATATTGCCAGTATCTTGAGGCTCAAAGAACAAGAAGCCGGTCTAAATATGGCTGCAATGGATGTCGATGTCTTGTGGGCTTGACCATGACGAACGGCTTCCGGAGTTGAGCCCCACTATTTCGGAGTTGAGACTTTGCCCCATCATCCATGTGCATTTCTTGCAACGATGAGCACTTCGGCCTGAGTCCCGCACCCGGTCCTGTAGGCTTGAAGTTCTTGTATGAGTATGGTAGACACAATTGAAGATTATATGAATCTTTACAGCACATTAGTCCAGGAGAATGTAGGAAATTCCTATGGACGAGCAAGAGATCGAGACTCAGGTACAGAGATCTCCTCCGGACCTGTGAGTTCGGAGCCGGGCGATGACCCACTATTCCCGACTCGACCGTCCGGCTCAACTATCTCCACCCAGCACAGCCGGTGCCAGCTGCCCCGCTACCAGAAGTGGATCGGAGCTTCCTTCCCGAAATGTGTGCTCCCCTTCCAGGTGAATTCACCTTCTTCTCTCGACGCGACTTCAACCTCACCTCTCAACAGCATCGCAGGATTGTTATTCGTGCTACCACCGCCTGAATAATGAAGGACAGGCAACATGTCGACATTCAATGGACTCGTCGCGGAGTTCCCTGACATACGAAGTAAGCCTCCTGTCCAACAATGCACATGGCGAATCGCCTATTGCCTCACAGAATTCACCTCGCACAACAAGCCGTATCTCCATCGCAACATTTTGCTGACCATCACACAGTTGACTTCTTTCGGAAACATGCAGACCGTCGTCCGCCTCTTGCATGCTTCCTGAGCCATATACACAGTGACCACTTGGCCGGGCTTGACTCCCTGCGGTCTCCTTTCGTCTACTGCTCCGCAGCCACTCGGGAGATGCTCCTCCGTCTCGAGCGTTACCCTTGTCGCATCAATTACGCCAAAGGCATCCTCGAGGCACGAGTGCAGACGTACAAGCATCTGAAGAACCTACTCAAGCCATTACCCCTGGAGACCCCTACCACGTTGGAGCTGGCGCCGGGCAGTCACATTCAAGTCACGCTATTCGACGCAAACCATTGCCCTGGTGCTGTTATGTTCCTCATTGAGGATTCATATCGCGCCATTCTCTACACGGGTGACATCCGGAGCGAGCCATGGTTCGTGAATACGCTTGCCAGAAATCCAGCCGTCATCGAGTACACCTCTGGCATGAAGACGCTCGATAAGATCTACCTTGACACCTCCTTCATCAAGGACGTACCCTTCCAGACCAAGGCTGAAGGTATCGCGGAATTACTCCGAAAAGTAGCGCAGTACCCAGTTGATACAGTCTTCCACATCCAAGCATGGACCTATGGATACGAACAGGTCTGGATAGCTCTGGCCAAAGCTCTCAAGTCCCGGATTCATGTCGATGACTACAAGATGCGTATCTTCTCGTCACTTACCGGCAAGACATCCAATGATCGCTTCAGTTCTGCCATTCAGCTATGTCACGAAGCTCCTGCTCTGGCCGGCTACGTGTGTGGGAATACACCCCATCCCGGGTGCCTCACTCGGGATGAGAATGTTCGACTTCACAGTTGCGAGAGGGGAAACTTTTGCAACACGGTCAAAAGCTCAAGAGTAGTGTCAATCCAGCCGGTTGTCGCGCATCTCAGGAGCGGTGCTGACATTGCTGAGATTGGTGTTGGCGGTGGCGGAGATGATCTAGAACGAGACGCCGAGCTCGACCCTCTGTCAACGGAAGACATCGCAGCAGTCTCGAAGCTTATTGAAAATGCGGATATTTCCCCAGAGGCAAAGCTCCGTCTTTCCGAATTCCTCGAGACAGGCGCCAAAACCGGGCGAAACCTTCCCCTGGATCTCGATATTGCGTTCTTTGGAGAGAAGAATGAGGCGGCCATCATGGACGCCTTTCAGGCAGTTGGTCGGAAGAAACACCTTGAGGAGCAACCCTCGCAAAGCACGCAACCAACAATAGACGGACCAAGCGGGGAACTGCCCAGAGTAATCACATTCCCCTACTCCCGGCATTCGTCTTATCAAGAGCTATGCGATCTGGTTCGAATCTTTCGCCCCAATGATGTGTGGCCTTGCACAGTGAATCCTGTCGACTGGCTCCGGAACACCACGAGTATACGATACCTGTTTGGTGAATTCTGCTCTGGCGATACCTTCGCCCACGACATGGAGATGGAGAGACTCGCCGAAAGTCTGAGGATTCTCCAGCAACCGCTATCCCACAGCCTTGGCGACAGTCAACTGCCGGCAACTGATGCTCACACCACGGCGTTACACTCATTGCATAGTCACGAAAGCATCGCATCCGATCCTTCCGCCGTTGAAATAGAGGAGACCCTTGTGCTGGGGCTCGATAGCAACCCCGGGTCCGTTGAGACACGGCTCCCCACACGGAAGCAGCATGACTTCTCCTACCGGGGAGGAAACTCTCATCATACTCTGGATTCCGCGGTCCCGCCCACTGAGCCGATTTCACTCATATCATCTGCCGGTGTTTCTCGCATTCGGGCAGATGCGTATTTTGCCATGGAGCAAAATCTCCTCGGCGGGGAGTGGACGCCAATTGGCCTCCTCTCTACTATTGATCACCATACTACTCCAGATAAGGATCTTGGGATGGTTTGAGCTTGGCCAATGTCTCAAGAGCTATATAGCAGGGCATCACAATGCAAGGATTGGGTCCATACTCAGTCTTAGTGACTATGATTATCATTGATGATCGGGTCTTGCTCGTTGACGAGCAAGAGCGAACCAAGGAAATAGGGTCTCAACGCTGCTGTAATATAACCTCCCATGATACTGACTGGGCCATACATGGGTACACACAAACTCCATTCACGTTCTGTTTGCCGCGTTTTCCTATTGCGGACGCAACGCTCCAGCTTCCGAAACACCCCACCGGCCATCAATGTACTGTCGCAAACTCTTTCCCCAGAAAGCAAGGGGTACAGCAACGCCGCCCACGACGAGGAGGATAGCACCCAATTCGAAGTTGGCGCCCAGGTAGCCTTGTGACCTAAGCCATGGTGTAACAGCGTAGCTCGTCGCAAAGCTCAACATGTACCCCGCTCCGCCGACAATGACCATGGCTGGCGCCGCCCAGCGAGGGAAAGCTTCCGTTACCCAGAGCGTTGAAGCGATGCCGTATGCAGCCGCGCTGAAGGCGTTGATGAGGTAGGAGACAAAGATCCAGATGAAGCTCCATTTGTAGTGCACGGTAAAGCCGTACAGAAAGATACTGCCCGCACCAGCGAGGACGGCGGGGAGAAAGGCGATGAGGTAGTGTTCCGCATCTCGGATTCCGCCGTTGCGGAGCGTCAAACGACGAGCAACACGCGAAGTCAGGATGGTCGACACGGGCCAGGCGAGAAGGGAACCGATCGCCGAGACAGGGTTGACCATGGAGATGACACGCTCGGGAAGGTTGTACGGCGGCTGGGACATGACCACCGCGTACGTTTCGCCAATGAAGATCATTGCGCCAAAGTTGAGGGCGTTGAGGATCGCGACCCAGAAAACGAGGGGATTGCACGCGCAGAGCATTGTCTGCACATAGCACGTCCACATCTCCCGGAACCCTGCACCGCTCTTGCGCACTCCCCATCGCCTGATCATGCCTTGCCAGACCGTCTCGGGTGCAGCCTCGGGCTGGATTACCTCGCTGGTCTTTCCGCCTGGCAGCTCTTCCCAGTCGTCATACATCTTGACCTTTTCCGAACCACCCTGGACGAGGATGTGGCCGTCGAAGGCAACGGCTGGCCGGACAAAGTACGTCTCGGGCAGGAAGAAGAAGGCGCAAATGAATACGGCGAGACAAGGTACGAGCCATGCGGTATAGAAGCTTCTCCATCCCGGGGCCGCGAGTGCCGGGACGATGCGGAGGGACAGAAGGCCACCGCCGCACCCGATACTCCAGAACATGCCTAGAGCATTAGGGCGCTCGTCGATGAAAGTCAAGTCAATGACAATCAAGATGGACTACAGAAGACAAGTCAGTCAAGCACCGGGAAGAGGGACGGAAAGAGAAGGGCCGTCACATACCGCACTCAGGCTCAACCCGGCCGAGAACCCCTGCAAACTCAAAGCCGCGAGGAGCTGGTAGAAACCCGAGGCATTCGCAGCCAGGGCCGTAGCGATTGTCATAAAACACGAAGCTAACAAAAAGACTGGCCGTCTCCCGAGGGCTACCGACAGGGGTATCCAGAGAAATGCCCCGAGACCGAGGAATATTGTGCTCGGTGTTGAAACGAGAATGTTCAGTGGAAACTTGTCGGCTTGCTAAAATCGTGTTAGCACCTGGTCAACTCAGTGGGGGGCCATCGCCGCCTGATGGGAGATTGGATATCATACCTGTCCGTTGAACTCGACAGCGAGAGATTTATACATTAAACTGGCAGCTTGCGTCTCCAGCATGGAAACAATCGAGTATAGTATGAGTACTCCCATGGCGACGAGTCGCTTCGGCAAACTCCAGTTCAACGGGTCGTAGGGTGAGTTACTTGGCATGGGTAGCTTGAGTGTCTTGCCATCGGAGGTGATGAGGTAGATGCTGCCAGAGAGGTCGGCCGAGGCCGGCCGGTCTGACGATCGACTGCTGGCGCGGCTCATCTTGACTCTGAAAGAGACGAAGCGAGTAACAAAACAAAGGAGAGAGAGAGAGAGAGAGAGAGAGAGAGAGAGATGCTCGTGTAATAGTGAACGGACACGATTATTGCAAAATTGGACCAAAATATCAAATTAACGACGGCCGGTGTGCTGCCAGAACAACCCGATGGAGACGACAACAAACTAAGGTTGACGGGACCGGGAGACCAGGTCCCTTAATATGAAGAACATGGAGTTCTCGAGAGTTTCTCTTGACATGTGGTGCGTGGAGAATAGAGACCACGTTGGGCCCTGGGTTTGATAGAGTAGAGAGACTGGAGTAGGGCAAAGGCATGCCAAAGCCAAAAAAGTTGGGAGGAAAAAAGCGTACGGCATGTTCGGTCGTCGACTGCGACAATCTTTTGACAATTTGGGAAGGCATCACAAAAAGTTTATTCGAGTTAATTACAAGCTACAACGGGCCAAGACCAGCAAACCTCGAGGTAGATTGTGTACGGAGTACCCTTTGTAGAGTAAGGCTGATTTTTCTTCTCTCCTCTTCTCTCTTGAGCGTGCTAACCGCCATCTGAAACCCGGCGCCATGGCCCCTGGACTCTGGAGGCTTGCTGCTCATGAGGTAGCAAGGGGTGGATAAAGTGGTGTATCCGTAGGTAGGCAAGGTACGATGTGATTGTGCACAGGTTTTTTTCCCTCCCTGGCGGGCGCAAGTGGTGTATCAACAACGGCGGAAGATGGTGTAGAGAAGGACGGCTGGGGGAGTCTGGGACTGATGGATTGGGCCCGTTCCCAGTCGCGGGGTCGGCGGGGTTCAAGCCTGTTTGGTTTCCCTTCATCGCTTCATCGTAAAGTGTTGGAAGGCTATTGTGGTACGGAATCGTTGTCCGACTGCAAAAAAAAGAACAGACGAAGACGAAGCCAAGCGGTGAAGCAAAGCAAACTCCGTCCGACTGATGGCAACAAGGTTCGTGCCTAAAGTTTAAATCGTCAATCTTGGCAGTCTATGGAGAGGCTCAGGAGGCTTAGTCGCTTCGAAGGCAATAGGCAAGTCGATGTCGACGGGTACCCCTGGGCTATCACGGACGAGTCGCCCAAAACCGTTTCAAGCGGAAGTTTATTGACAGGTTCGGCGGGCTTGGGTTGGGCACTGGACAGTGGAGGGGTCGTTCTGTGTGCTACGCTATTTGCTGGGCAGAAAGTCTGATCACGATGGAGATGAGGACTCTCCAAGTCAAATCTCGGGAGGGGCTGGCCGCCAGACGAGATTGTGAGATTGGGTGCTTATTAGCCTTCCGTTCAACTTGGGCTTGGGTCCTTGGGATCTGCCTGTCGGCACCATCCGTGCCATGGTCCCCATCGGCGGCGCGTTTGGAGCAATAGGAGTTTCGGCCGAGCCGCCGATTTAACAGCTGCTGTGGGTTGCTTGCAGTTCTGCGGAAGAAGAAAGACGTTTGGTGGTTGATGTGAGCCTGTGACTTTGTGAGAGAAAGGATGCTGCGAGAGAAGCATGCGGAAGAACGAGTTTGCAATGTCAGAAATCAGACGGAGTATCTGCATTGGAAGACCTCATGCATACACACAAACACACACACAACGCCCAGTACACCCTCTCGCGACCCCTTATCCAAACTGGTTGATGATAGGACCCAGTCCGAGAACCAACGTCTCATATGCACCGCTCGCCCGTTTGAATCCTTAAGTGAATTCGTATTCCAACTTTCCAAGTCATACCTCCTCACTACAGAAGTCGAAGTCGTGAGAGCACGCGACTGGTTGGCCAGACGGTTGCAGTTGTGGTAAGCAACATTAAACCAACTAAGGTAGCTCCCCGGCGGCCGAGAGCATCGGAGGGCCATCGGGTTTCAGGACATTTCGTTCGTCGTAGCCCATGGTTCGTCGTATTGCCGGATCCTTTCCTGTCTGACAGTCTGCAAGGCGTGCAGAATGCGGGCAATGTGCCATCCAACGGCGGCGTGTGCCGTGTGTGCGGACTTTTCCCCCCCTCGGGATCATCTATGGCACCTAAGGGAACTCAAGCATCAAGGGCTCGTCGTATGCCTCTATTCGAGTCGGTGGATCGGGGCAGAATCTTCGGTTACTGATGACCAAGCAGGCAGTATCCGTAGTAATTCACGGATATTTGGACCAGTGGGAAGTGCGCGTGCAGTTCTGGCCCCAGTCCGCCAGTCCCGCAGTCCAATCCACGCGAGACGGCAAACGGGAGACCCTTCCTGCAATGTCGGCGGGTAGAAGAAGCCTTGCTTATTACTTAGCATACTATATACGGATACTCCGTACCCCCGCAATCATAATAGTTGACGGGGGGGGTCTCGGGGAATCGGGGTAGACGGAGCCTCTGCGTTTGCCCGACATTTGGGGGCCAACGGCCAGCTTGGTGTTTTTGGTGCTGCATTGCTGGGCCACCGGAGTCTTTTCGTGGGATGCTTCCAGGTTGTCAGCATCCATTCATTGGCTTCAGGCAACATACCTTGGACTGACTTGTTGAACTGCTTCTTGAAGTGGTAGAGATTGGTCCCGATGGACCGTCTGCAACGAACAGGTGGTGTGTGTAGATGCGCACGAAACACTGGCAATGCAACTAGGAGCCAAAAGGCAAATCTCGATTGAGGTCCGATTCTCCCACGACCAAGTTACCGACCCTCCAGTCTGGGCCGCCCCTTTGTGTCAAGTAAAGTCGCCATTGGAGGCTCATATCGCCATCGGTCGCGGGCGTTCATGTCGCTTTCGCTGCTGCTACGCTCTGATACCTAGCTCGCCTCTATGAGTGAGTGAGGGTTCACGCCGTCCGTCCTTCTGGTATCCCTCTAAAACGAGTTCAGAATCCGGATGGACAATTTACTTCTCTGGCGTCGTCACCCCTTCGTCTGGTATCTCTGGGACTAGCCAGTCAGTAATTCGGTCCAACGGACTGCAGCAACGTTGCAATTTTCCAGGCGATTGAGGGTTCGTCAAGAACGGAGTTGTCCTTTCAGTCATTCATCCTTTCGGCCCTCACGAAGCTCTTCGGGTCCGCGTCTCAGAAGTACGTAAAAGCTGCCAGTCACATTCGCATCCGAAAACGCGCCCAATATGGCGATAGTACATGGCCATTATCAATGCAAAGACGTCAAGAGGAGAAACCTTAGGGGCTTCTTGACATGTGTTTTGCAATTTCTGTCCATTATCACATGTTCTCAATTTCGCAACGTGACTGTTCCTTTTGGCATGAAGTCGCATGTCGAGCACGACTCAGTTTGAGTTCTGCACGTCTTGTCACCCTTTTAGCTACGGCGCAATGTGCCCCGAAGGTAAGGGTCTGAGTGGTAGGCCAGTCACTGTGTACTGAGTCCTGAACAATGATTTTCAAGACGGATACATTTACCGATGGAGACCAAGAACGAAAGATAGAGACTCCGCAATTTAGCCAGTGGGATGTCCGTATGATACTAAGAAATGCATCCAGGGAGAATGAGGCAAAGCCGACTGGTCTCCCTCCGCTAGAATCCCATGTTCAAAGTGACCAGCAAGTCCCAAATCCCAACGGCTCTTCGCCCAGGTTCTCCCACAAACATGGGGGCGGGCGGCTTTCACGGGACCTACCACTGTCTGTATCCGTCGTACAGGAGGCTTGCACGATTCCGTCCATAGCACACATTCATGAGACCGGGGGTTGATTGGATAGAACAGTAAGCCATGACAAGGATGCCGCCCAAGGAAGAAGCGGCCTCTCTGGCCAGGGGAGACTCTCAGTTTCTGAGAGACTCTATGAGACTCTGGAGGAGGAGGAGGCCTTTCCAGGCTCTGACCAACCCACGCCCAAAGCGACATTCCGCATATTAGCCGTAGCGCTGCTGCGCGGCTTCGCGGCCCGGCGGGCAGCGCAGACGGAGGTCGTGATGGGGCCACGAGCGCTCGATCTGCCCGTAAGCTCCGCGGCGCCCCCTCCCGTCCTATCCTCTTTTCACCCGGAAGAAGACATTTTTGGTGCAGAGTGAGGATTTTGATGCAATCTATCTCGTCGCAGATGGATGGTTACCCCCTCCAGGCCAAGCCCAGAACGGCCGGACCAGCTTTTCGGCTCTGTATCCTGTTGTTCCTTTGGCCATGCTGACGCTAAGGTAGAAGAGAAAATTGTGGACACATTCTGCGTCGTGGTGCGGGCCGTGACCTTGAATCCCTTGATGATAAAGTCTTCGTGATGCCCCAAGAGTACACACGCTGTGCGAGTTATTTTTGATTTGGAAAGGCTTCTTTTTCTGAAGTCTTTGAATTTCAGCCATATCGACACTTTTGCAGATATTTTGTTTCGTCTTCTTCTGGCCACAGTACAAACGGAGAGGTCAACTACCGTTTCTTACCATTTCGGCCGTCTTGGTCCGCCACTATTTTCAACCCGCTTTGGGATGGTCACGAGGTGTCATTCTTCACTCGATTCGGAACTGCTGTCAAAAAAAAAAGCCCCGAGCGACACTAGGCCCAGAACCTGCTCTGTTCCTGCGCCGCCGCCCGCTGTCTGTCCGGGTTTTTGGATCAATACGTCTGCAGGACAGGAGTTGTCGACGTTTTCCACCACTTGGGGATAACAGACGTTTACAGCCTACGACGTTGTGGTGTGGTTTGCGCCGTCACGAGACATTTCGGAATATATAAAAAGAAGACTATTGGGAACCAGGCTCACGCGTTGCGTCTTGTTGCATTTCGTTCGCTCCTTGAAGGGCCTTGCTTTGGAGGCAACAATTGGGTCAACTGACAGCTCCTATCTCACCTCGGCCAGCCGGATACGATACTCGATTCCGTTTTCCATGAATCTCAACAACACAACGCACCAGTCTGACAGTCACTTGAGCACTTGACGTGTCCTTTTTTATCTGCTCTACCCAGGAACTAGACCGGCCCATACCCAATATTTGATCGTCTATCGGGAATCGCATCTGTTGGCTGGCGAAAGATTCTGTTGAGCAGGACTGAAATTGTACTGATCCGTTGCCAAACCTTTGGTATCAGTACATACCTTGACCCGTGAGTCGGCTGCAGGACTCGCGCATAGGCGTGTATCAGTGTGAGTGTGTGCATCCAGACACACTACTCACGCCGCTCTCGACTCAAGAGTCTCGAGTAATAAGAGTTACTTGAGTCTCCCCCACCACACCACCCCCCTTTCGATCTCTGGGCGACGGCAGCTCGGATGATCTTGGCCCGCTGGGCCGCTGGCCCCACTGAGGCGCCCCCCGCAAATGAGGAGGGGGGAAAGGGAGGAGGAGAAGATGGAGATAGAGAAGATGGAGGAGGAGGAGCAGGACTAGCAGCAGTTGGGGGAGTTGGAGATGCCGGCAACACAGCGATCCTGACCGAGACGACCAGTAGTAACACGAGCTCAGGAAGCACAACACCAGCTCCCGCTGCAACCTCCTCGTCTGTCAAGTCCCCCAAGTCACGGCTGGGGAAGAAGTCTACTACTCGCAGGGGGCTTGGGTCAGGTACACGTACAGGGTCAAGCAGCAGCAGCGGAAGCGGAAGCGGTGGGAGCATCGGGGGAGGGATACCGTTATTAGGAGGAGGGATATTAGGAGTAGGAGGACCTGGACAACCATCAGGAGGAGGGCAAGGAGGAGGAGGAGGAGGAAGACGCAGGACTTCTTCCAGAATTATTAAGACGACCCCGCCGTCGTCTACCGCCGTGTCCCGGTCCACCTCCGTCTCCCCTACCTCTACTTTCCTCACCTCGCCCCCTTCGTCTGCGGCCATCACAGCTGCAACCTCTGCCGCGACGACGCGCTCGTCCACCTCGACTCCCACTGCTGCAGTGGCCGGCGCCGCCGCTGCTGCTGCCGCTGCAAGCCGCAAGGTCTTCCCCAAAAGTATGGAGCCCCCCGTCGTCTCCTTTTACGGGGCCGAGCCCATCCCGTTGCCGTCGCGCTTCGCCGGTGTCAAGAAGCGGCTCATTGCCGGCCATGAGGCTGCCGTTGAGGCTTCGTGGCACCGTCTCATCGACGCTCTGAGGACCGAAATTACCGATATTTCTACCCGTGGATCGGAGCTGATCCCGTCCATCAACTTCACCGACATCAATGACCCTGTCCGCGTCGAGGCCTTTGCGCACAGGCTGCGCCGGTATGGTGTAGCCGTCATCCGCGGCGTTGTGCCGCCCAACGACGCTCAGAAATGGGTTCACGAAACCCACGACTATCTCGACAAGAACCGCGAGTTCAAGCCGCCCGCGCTTCACGATCCTACTTGTATTGATCTCTTCTGGACGCCCGTTCAAGTACGTGCCCGCGCGCATCCCAACATGCTGCGCGCGCAAAAGTTTGCAATGTCCTTTTGGGAATCGACAGACGACGTGCACATCACCCGCGCACCCGTGAGCTACGCAGACCGTCTGCGCATTCACAATGACAAGCTCGGCGCCGTCGGCCAGCCTACCGGAAACTCGGCCGCAGACTCTCTTAGCACCACCGCCTCGTCGACCGTCATTGCGCAAATCGACAGCGGCAGCCTGGAACGCTGGGAACCGGACGGCTACGGCCGCGGCGGCACCTACGAGGCCGTCTTCCGCGGCGACTGGGAGTCTTACGATCCCTGGGACCCGGCCGGCCGAGTCGGTGCCACGACGGATCTGTACAACGGCGCGGGTGCCTGCAGCATCTTCCGCATGTTCCAGGGTATTCTCGCGCTCACCGAGGTCGAGCAGGGCATGGTGCGCGTGTTGCCGTCGCCCAAGCTGGTGGCCGCGTACTTCCTCTTGCGGCCGTTCTTCTCGCCGAAGCGTGGGCCGCCAGAGCAGCCGGATGGCGGCAAGGCGGATCAGTGGGCTGCGTATCTCGATGCGTCCAACTGGACCTTCGATCTGGAGCCCAATACCATCATCCACGGGGCTGTTCCGGGCCATGCTCAGCGTCTCACGGAACGCTGGCACCCGCATCTGCATCTGCGCAGGAGTTTGGTCTCTATGCCTAGCCTACAGGCTGGTGACTACGTTATTTGGCATTGCGACCAGGCCTACTCGATCATCACGGGCGGCACCAGGTTAGGCGTCCCGCCGTCGTTGCAAAACGAGTCAAATGAGCTTTCCCTGCTCACGTACACCCCCGTGTGCCCCTTGACACAGACCAATGCCCTGTTCCTCGCTCGCCAGAGAAAGGCTTTTCAGACCGGCCAACCGGGACCGGACTTTGACACGCTGGGTGGACTGGGCAGCGAAGCCTCGCATCAGGACCGTCCCGGTGCTAAGGAGGTCGAGGAGTACGGCGGAGTCGACGGCCTACGTGCAATGGGATTGGCGCCCTACGATGTCGAACCAGCGGGTGTCATGCCATCCAAGCACGCTGATGCCATGGACATTGACGACGAGGAGGGCATCAGAAACAAGACAAAGACTGAGGCGGAGACGGAACTCCTGCGGCTGGCCAACATCATCCTCTTCCCGAGCCGCTACGACTTTTATATTCCTACAAACGGCACGCGAAGCAGCGGCGATCGTACCCCGCGCGCGACGGCGGGACCGCCCAAGACGGTGGTCAACGGCAGTAAGAGCTGACGGCGTTGGTTGAAGGGGCGATGGCGGCGCGGGGACCGGCGACAGCAAGACTCGTCGGGTAGAGAAATTGTAGAGGAAGGGGATGAGGATGACGAGGAACCGGAGACCGTTGTCGAGACTGTGACCCCCAAGGGAATGAGTGAGGAGACCATCACAGTCACGGTCACCGCGGCTAAAGTCTAGATTGCTGTTTTTCTTACCGTGATACCCTGCAATCGGGCGACTTGGTCGACGGAGGACTGGATGATAGAGGAAGAGACTGTCTGAGTGACAGAGTGCGTGAGAGTGAGACAGAGAGAATCAGAAGGCCGCCCCTTCAACGTGACGCTAGAAAGTAAATAGTACGCGCGTAGAGGACGAACGAATTCGATGTCGAGATATGAAGGAAGACCTGTCAATATCCAGTCCGACTGACTATACGCACCGCGGTTGAGGACTAGAATGATTGGTAGACGAAACTTTGCGAGATTTCATGCATCTTCATGGGCTTGGCGGGATCCGCCGTCAAGGCCCGATACTTTTTTGTCTCTTCATCTTACCACATCTGATTTGTATGCAATCGTATCTGCGGTCTGCAGACTATGAGTGTAAGCCGCGAATAATTACTGCGAATATTGATCAACGGGACGGGCGTTGCAACGTGGTGGCCGGGACGTAGCCGGTTCTTAGGCTGGAGAGGACCGGGACGCGTTCCCGGCTCACACCACCACTTTTCCCTCTCTTAGGCTCTTCTAGTCTCACTTTCAGATGGCGCCGCCCCGAGAGTCTGGGACCGGGCCTGGCTATGCGCCGGCCGCTGTGTTGTTGACCTTACAGCCGGGAATGCGCTTTGGACGATCCGACCAGATCCCCTGGCAATTGGGTTGCCAAACGCGCGCCCTTAAAGAGTAGAGAAGCATATAACGAGGCTTCATGACCTACCGATCTTATTTGATATTGTAATGGCGAAAACTTGTACCTTTCTCGGTGAGCACATTGCATGCACTTCACATAGTGGAAGGCATCGCATCGCCGCATCTCAGAAACCCCACGCATGCGCGCCACTTCCCCGTGTTTTGTTGCTCCCGGTCCTGATTATATATTTTGCAAACGGCATACCGGTCTGTCATTATCTTCCTTTACGCCGAATCGGTTCCAGTTTGATCGGTCAAGCGTCGGCGCCCCTCTCGGTCTGGATCCTATCTTGGGGCGCATCGACCCATTTAATACAACCAAATGTACGTAATAAAACACTTTCAAAAGAGGGTTCGCGCGGTGATAGTGAATTTCCCCGGACGACAAGACGGGGATCCGTTAGTGCCTGACACCACTCCACTGTCATATGATTACTATCAGGTCTCTGTGTCTCGTCTCGAAAGCCGCGCTCTGGTTATGGGTTACCAGTTGGAATACCTAGGCCGTACGGCGTAGAGTTGAGAAAAGCCAAGACAATTTACAAGGACCGAGGCCAGCCAAACCTAGACAGACCCGCGCCCTACAGACAAACTAGGTACGGCATTCCGAATCCTGCAGTCTGCACTCTGCAGGCCAGCGAGTCAGGCCCCGAACGTTCCCGCCAGCCGTGATTGGGACGATGGCAGACAGCGCTCCGTAGCCTGCGTGCCTGCGTTCATGTTGAGCGACTTGAACCCGGGGCTGGGTTCTTTGTCGGGGTTCTACCCGCTTTCTGTGCATCTTCTCCTGCAATGGCACCGCAAATCATCCCGCCATGCTCCTTGTTGTGATGGGAAAGGTACGGAACATGGACATGCCAACCCGGAGCTAAGCAGGCCTTCAGGGCTTCTGCTGCCGCGTTCCTCGAGGAAGCTACACACCTTTTCGGCGTGGCCGCCGGCAAACACAAGCAGTACAGAGCCTTCAGTCTTGTCAGAATACGGTCGTTTATCGGCAGTAATTGGAGCTAAGCCCCAAGTTTTCGCCTCTCACCCGCGCTTCTCCAAGGGTCCTGTCGGTCTTTTGAGTGCTTCAGCCAACCATCAACTCGACATCTATCGGATAATGGGTGGGCTTTCCCCTGGTTTCTATGGCCGAATCCGACGTCGGATGTCGCTCGACCCATTGCCAAGATATTAGGACATAGTCTGGCTAAGTGGCTACAGGCCAAAGGCTTGCGGCTTGAGGCCTTGGACTCTGGAAAGCCTTGGGGACAAGTTCAGAACGTGAAGCACAGCAGCTCGACGCCAAGTGGGAAGAGCTGAAGGAGCCGAAGGGAGCGAAAAGTCTCAGCAAATGCTTGATGCGTGGACCGCCCAATCGACGACTGCCGGGGATTTTCTGGGCCCCTTGTTCTACCCAGTGCCATCTGTTCTACCAAGTCTCCTCTTTCGGATCAGTGGCTATCGTCGGCAGCAGATTCACATTTCGTCTTACCCCAATACTTGAGGTGATTCTCCCATCTCATAGCCTGCCGTTGGCCCGTTGCTGCAATGCTTCGACCAGGCGCGGAATTCGGATGTGTACGCCAGTGGAACCCTTGGACGGCTAATCGAAACGTGGGAACGGGGGCATCTTCCTCGGAATGGATCATAGAAACGCGTTAAGATGCCCTCAACGAGATGACTTTCTCTCCGTTATCGTCGGTATCGTCCGCTCTGACGTTGCCTCCCTCCCCCCAAGCAGGGATTCTTCCTCCTCGCTCTCCTCGAGTCTCCTCCCCCCCGCGCCCACACTTCTGATCGCCCCAGCCAGCTGCCAACCATCCCCCGGCGCGCTTTGCTTATCTCTGCGGGGCTCCCTATTAGATGGGGCACTTGGACCCGTCCGTTGGTCTTGTCTATCACGACCCGAGTAAGTCGCATACTTACACACATACCCAGTGGTAATACCTCCGTAACGCTCCGTATTGGCTTGTTTCTCTCCCAGGAACCGGGAGACGTCAGATGAAGGTTGGCAAGCTAACCATGGAGGGGAAGGGGGGCCGCTGGACGCAAGGTAGCGTCGGGCCAGGGGCACGCAACGAACTCATCTATATAGAATAACTGTCCTCCTCGCTCGTCCAGGTTGTTGAGCTGTGTTTGAATCGCATCCCATTCGATCTGCTCGGCGTCTCTGAGAGTGGTACTACCCGACCTCAGCCAGCAATTACCTCTACTTGGACGACTTGTGTTCTTAGACAGTCGGCCGTCGGATCACCAAAAAAAAATAACAGATCTTGCCATCAACCGCCCAACATGGCTTCCGGGATGGAAGAAAAGACTGTCGGCCTCAGCCGTGCCGACAGCACCAACAGCAACAAGCTTGGGACTGTTATGTCTGGCACCAATGCTGCTGTTGCTCAACAATACGGTGAGACCCAGCGCGGTCTCAGCCCTCGCCATGTCCAGCTCATGGCTATCGGAGGTTCCATTGGTACCGGTCTTTGGGTAGGTCGTCCCACAGCCTTAGGATGTTGCGATTTACAGCGCAGCTATCTAGAGATTCTAATGGTTTTGATAGGTCGGTATTGGTGGTGTCTTGTCCAAGGCCGGCCCTCTTTCCCTCGTTCTCGGTTACACTTTCTGGGGTCTCCTCTTCATCTGGCCGCTCAACCTGTCTGTCGCCGAAATGTGCGCCTACCTGCCCATCCGCGGCACCATCTTCGAACTCGCCTCTCGCTTTGTTGACCCTGCTCTCGGTTTCGCCATGGGATGGACCTATTTCTTCGCCGGTCTCATGTTAGTATGTACGGAATACAGCGCTGTCGCAACGGTCATACAATACTGGAACGCGGATATCAACCCAGCCGCCTGGATTGCCGTTGCCATGGTCTCTTGTGTGGCGGTCAACTTGGTTGCAGTCAAGTATTACGGAGAATCCGAGTTCATCATGGCTTCGACAAAGGTCATCCTGCTCATCGGTCTATGCCTCATCACCCTCATCACCATGTCCGGCGGCAACCCCATGAACGATGCCTACGGATTCCGCAACTGGGGCGACGGCAACTACATCCACGCCTACTTCACCGATGGGTCGACAGGAAGGTTCTTGGGATTCTGGAAGGTCGTCATCTACGCCGCCTTCACCATTGCCGGCCCCGACATGATCGCCCTCGCCGCTGGTGAGATCCAGAACCCCCGCCGCACCATCCCCCGCGTCGCCAAGCTCATCTTCTACCGCCTTGTCGGTTTCTACGTTGTCGGTGTTCTGTGCGTCGGCATCATCTGCAGCTCCCGCGACCCTGGCTTGCTCGGTGCCATTGAGAGCGGCGAGCCCGGTGCTGGTGCTTCTCCCTGGGTTGTTGGTATTAAGAACCTCCACATCAAGGCTCTTCCCGATATCATCAACGCCTTCATTCTCCTTTCTGGATGGTGAGTACCCTTGTTGCCCCTTGTGCTTCATCCTCGAATCATGCTGACACCTTCCAAGGTCCTGCGGTAACGCTTACCTCTACTCAACTTCCCGCACTCTCTATGGTCTCGCCCGCGACGGACAGGCCCCGAAGTTCCTCCTCAAGTGCACCAAGGCCGGTGTTCCCATCTACTCCGTTCTTGTCGTCACCGTCATCTCCTGCATCACCTTCCTCGTCTCGTCGAACAGCGCCGTCGACGTCTTCTTCTGGTTCGTCGACTTGACCACCACCGCCCTGATCATGACCTACACCTTCATGCTCATCACCTACATGGGCTTCTACCGCGCCCGCATGGCCCAGAACTTCCCTCCCGAGACGCTCCCCTACCTATCTCCCTGGACCCCGTACTTCCCCGGTCTGGCCCTGCTTTTGGGTATCCTGGCCCTCATCTTTGTCGGTTTCGACAACTTCTACCCCTTCAGCGTGAGAGGCTTCATCACCTCCTACTTTGGTCTCATCTTTGGTATTGTCACTTTTCTCATCTGGAAGGTTCTGAAGAGGACCCGCTTCGTTCATCCCAAGGAGGCAGATCTCATCAGCGGAAAGGCCGAGGTTGATGCCGAGTGCCGTCACTGGGAGGAGGGTGGTATTGAGGAGGTGGAGAGGGCGAGACTGGCTGAAATGTCTTTCGTCAGGAGAACCTGGGAAAAGATGTGGTAAACGATAAATGCTTGATGTTTTCAATGACAATAATATTCTGTCAAATGTGCGACATTCACTCTGAGTACTCAGTTTCCTCCAACTTTACAGTGTTTGATGAGGCCCATCCACTTGGACTCAGAGATTCAGGCCAATACCAGAGAGCCATTGCTTGCTTGCAGGTGTTGACTCAGACATGTATCCAAGTCCGTCAACCCCGGCCAGCTTGTGCCCCCATTACAGCCAAGGCAACCAACACAATCCCTGGAACCACGCTGTAGCGTTCCGTCTGACTACATCAAGTCGCTCGCTCCCCTTGTTGACGGTCATCATTACCAACATGACGTTCTGGTAGCTCAGCAGGGAGAGCGGCAGGTGCCGTTCACCGCGGTCCTGCAGGTCGTGTGTTCAAATCATACCCAGAGCCGAACATCGTTTTTGCTTATTCTCTCCGTACTTACTCAGTTTTCGATCTACGGTCATTACAGCGCCTATTCCAAGCCCCATAACACTAAGTACATGAACTGACAACGTAGTCTCTCTATTACGTAAAGTTCATCTTCCCCGCCTCGCCTGGACTTGCGGGGAAGTTCGTTCATCTCCAACCCTCTAATGTCTCCATGCGGATTCGTGTTCTAGATGCAACTTCAACTCATTTGGCGCGGCTCTCGTTGCGAAATCGGCTTATCCCACCGGGTCTAAGATGCTGAAATTCTCCAGACAGACGCGGGCATTTACTGTAGATGTGCTAGCCTAGCAATGCGGCCCACCAGGTATTCGACCTCACGACAAAAGGCATGCCAGCCATGCGCGACCGCCAAAGCCAAATGCGACCGGAAAGCTGTAACATGTTCCCGGTGCCACCAGCGGGGCCTCCCATGTCTCTATCCACAGACTCGGACGATCCCTTCATCCGCGCCGGGTACTGCCGGTCTGCATACAGAGGCTGAAGCCGAGGTCGATACGGACCGCGCAGCAACCACGATATCCGCGACTGTGGAAACGAACGCGGTGTTCCCGCCGTTTCGAATGATTCTGTCAAACAAGACGAGCACTCTCTCCAGAGCGGGCGAACTGTTGGCCACAGAGACCGATAGGTCAGACGTCCTCGAGCCTGATGCGCTCGACTTTTCGGACATGAACCTTGTCTGCACCATCAACGCTGATGACATTGCCAATCGATGGCTGAATAACTTTGTCCCATTACCAGGACAATTAGCAAAGAACTACTCGCCGAGTATATCGACTTTCATCCAAAGGATACTGGAATCCTACGTAAACTCTTCCATCCGTGGCCGTAAGGCCCCTCCTTTTATACATTGGTCCCAGATAAACCTGCCATCGAGCCAACCCTTGTCAGATTGCCTTTCCATCATTCGAAGTTACAACGAGCCCGATATGGCAGGTGCTGAAGCCGTAGCCAACGAACTCAAGGTAGAGATGGCGAAGCTTTACAGCCAACACACATCCTACGATGACATGGCACTTCTCGCAGCATTTCAAGCACATCTTGTTTACGCCATGGTCATCTTTTTCAGATATGGGAAAACTTACTACCCATTTTTACGGGAGGCTATGATGAAAACCCAGGACCTCGCATGTGCGGTGGCGAAGAAAGGGCTCACCTGCGTTTCGGAAGGAGATGAAACTCACCCCAGGTGGGAGTGCTGGATTGCCGCGGAGGCTAAACGAAGAACTCTGTTCACGATGTGCCTCTTCGATAGCGCCCTATTGACACATGACGGCCTTCCAACTCATCTTGCCACCGAGTTACGCGGGTTGTTAGCACCGTCGTCCAAGGCCTTGTGGGAGGCTCGAACGAGGCGTGACTGGAGGGGTAGGCATGAACTCCAACAAGCAGAATGGCCAGATGATTGGCTGACTATCGACGAATTATGGCCTGTGCCTGAACATATCAGCGAGGATGAAGTCACTCACAGGCGTACGAGAGTGAATGCATGGCTGGAGGACCTAGAGGAGTTTGGTACAATGATATATGCTGTGACCAGCGGTACACACGGCACATGATTCCGACCAAATGCCGTTGGTCCTTTGCATCAAGGCCAGTTATCCAGGAAAGGTATGGTCATCTCTTCGATGTTAGAATCAGTCGAGTCTTGTCTGGATGGAATCCCCGCAAGTATAGACATGGAGGCTAGAACCAATATTCAAACTATCGTGATCGTCTCTTTCTCAACATGTGCGAACCAGTCTCGAAGTGGATATTCTTCCGTGCGACAGAAGCCAATACGACGGAACTCTTGCGGCTGGTCTGTCGTTTCGAGCAGGAGCCCGTACCAACGGCTTGGCTCCTTGACTCTTCTTGATACCTGTAAGTAGTAGAGAGGATTTTCAGTCCCGCAGTAATCCTTGTCAAACACTGCTAATCCGACCATGATCCCCTCCTCCTTGAGAAAGTCAATGGCTAACTCTCTCCGATAGGTCAAAAACCTCTGATAATCCGGGGCTTCTGGATCTTCTCTCGGATCAGCTCGCCTGAGCTTTCCTTCCAGTTGCAGATATCCCGATTTCAACATGCCCCTCGGGTCCAGGCCAAGTGGCATCGTCTCTGCTCGGATAATTCTCACGGCAACTTCCATCTCATTGCCCGAGGGCAAAATGTTTCCAATCTCGGGCATCATCACAGCGCCTTCCAAGGACGCCCAACTCCAACTCGGAGCGCGAAAGCCATCAGGCGGAGCCTCAAGCCAGTTCTCGCTTCTCCTCCACAGCAACCCATAATGCAGATGGTCTCGCCACAACCCGGCGAGATACCGCTGCCCGGTGCATTCCTCCATTACTTTGGCAAGACCGGAAAGCGCTGGTAGCCGATCGTAAGACTTGGTGATGCCTCTTCTGCTGTACGCCGACACCATGTCGTACCAGTCCCAGACGAACTCTGATATTGCTAGGCGTCCCTGCGCAAAGGGGTATGAGAGGTGAAGGCGTTCGTCCCACACTAGCTTTTGCACAGCGAATGCATCCGTCGGAACCCCGTCTTCTGCCAGACGAGATTCACGACATTCCCAGAGAAGTTGATCAGAATCATAGTGTACCATTCGCGCAGATAGCAGACGCTCTTGCGTTACCCACGCACGTGAATGTAGGATGCTTTGTGGTAGGTGACTGAAGTCACGCGGTCTAGGTCGTAAGAATACGGGGATAGACACCGATTCATTGTTGATCTTCTGAGTGCACTTGACTTGAACGTGATTCGAAGTCGAACGCGGTAAGAAACATCCTCCTGTCGAGTCTGCGGACGCTGAGGCAGCAATGGTCAGACATGACGAGGCGTAAATAGTGCCCATCTTCACACTCTCGAGTTCCCAGTCCTCTTTGGAGTCCTGTACAATGCAGAGAGAGTCAATCCATAAATACTGAACGCCAAGTGACCTAGTTATTAGGACTGCGTCTCTGAACGTTGGAGGTAGCTTGGACAGTGGCAATGACTTGACGTGGTCATCGATTGTCTCGGTGGTGGTACGAATAACAGGATGCAAGCCCCAACAGTGACTCAAAGTCATGTATCGGCTGACTTCCCCGCTTGTAACAACGAGCCGGGGCTCCCTCACTCCTTCAATACCGACATCTACGACTCGTGCGGGCAGAGTAGCAAGGACCGGATGACAGCTCTGATGCTGTTCGTCACACTCGCGAACCCAACCTTTCACCAGACTAAGTTGATTAGCGGGAGGCTTGATGGGTCTGCCTAGGATGGATTTCTCCAGATGGGTCGTCTCGTCTTTGGGATAGAAGCTGAAATAGCAGTAAGCCCTCGGACTCAGGCGATCGCAGCGGACCTTAACCCAAAAGAGTCCATGAGACTCGTAGCTCTCATCTGTGTATTGAATGCCCCTCAAGATCACCGGCGAATCTGGGTCATTCCAAGCCTCTTGATCAACACTGACTCCCTCACTCTGGAGCTTTTCAGTGATGGATATGTGTAAAAGTTGACACAAAGCGCACGTGGAGACATTTCTCTCGAGATCAGCGACTGAAGAATGAATAACAACGTCTTGAACTTCATCTTCCTCGTCAAGTAGGTTGGCAAGATCGATCTGACAGCAATCTTGACATAGAGACATGGTAGAGTGCTCGAAGAAGACAACATGCTTTGATGAAGGTCACAATGAAGAAGAAGGAGTTGAGTGCTGAGGGATTTACTAGGACACCCCGCTGCAAACTGACAGACTTAGGGCGCCATTCGCTGTGAATGACACAGTAGGTTGGGGTTATGCAGGTCTGCATGTGCACAACGCAGGGTTACATTCACCTAGTGTAACTTCTGCGCCGAGCGCCGCGCTGGAGAACCAGGAGTAGCACTGTCGTGACCATTGAACCACCAGCACTTATCTAGTTCTGTATCAATGACCGAACTACTCCACTTGGTGGCAGTCTTGGATCTACAAAGTCTACATCAACTTCCGCGGGGGAAGAATGTTGGCAGCAACCATGCGATCAAAGGCGATGATATAACCTTCAGACATGCCCAATTCCTCCTTGAACCCAATAGACCGGATCTTGTCCAGGCACATTGCCCGATTCCTCTGTAAGAGAGAAAAGCCGACCCCCATCGTAAAGATCCAAGACGCAGCTGGTATATCACGGTGCTTCAAGCCAAACTCGGCACACATCCTCCTGTAATCATCTTGGTGTTCTTCCCACCACTTCTCAACAGGAAACGTTGCTAAAGAATATTTTAGAATGTAGGAAAGATGACTGGTGGTAGTATAGAGGCTCACTCTGTGCTTCCTTAACAGGAGGTGTCCCCTGCAACCCAAAATAATCGACCATGACGGGCCATCGCTCAACCCAGGATACTGGAGTCGCATTATCAGCAATATTGAAAGCTTCCCCATTTGACTCTTCTGGCTCCACAGTCGAGAGATAAATATGAGACTTTGCAATAGTATCCTGGGACGAGTCTGTGTTGGTGTGGATGTAATTCGTAGCTGTACCGATGAACTTGATTTCGGCTCCGGGCCCATGAACATAACGCCAGAGCGCAAGAACAAGAGCGGTCGGCTCTAGGAACGTCATGATTGAAGTCGTGCCAGGGACGAAGCCGACTATTGCATCGGAGCAGACTTCACACCATCTCCAGGACTTGCCCTTCTGCAATTCCTTGATAGCATCTACTTGCCCGTAGTAGAAGATCTCATTTCCGTATGGAGATGGAATTCGCGCCTGAGACTCTTTCAATGGCGGGTGTATTTCAATCTTGTCCTGATGTTGGAAAACAGCCACTCCGTAGCTCTGTTTGAAATCCGTACTTAAGTAGTGGCACATGATGAACAAAGCAGAGTAGCAAATGGTGAGTTACTGACATTGGTGCCAGTCTGGAGACTGAGAAACTTAAGACTCGTGCAGATCTCATCAATTGCCTTGACTGCGGTTTGGGTCATGATGATGTTGATATTGCGAATCTCCATGACGTCGACTAAATATGCCGTCGCGTTCGAGTAGGCTTTTTCCGTCTCAGATTTCATACCATATCTAGTGAAAGGTTGCAGTACTTGCCACAGTAGTACACGTGCGTGATGTCCTGCAGGTTGGAGATCTTGGATCTCATTTGTTCCTTGACCATTTGAATATCCTCACGCAGATTTATACCAGAGTAGATCTCCAAACGAGAATCGTTCTTAGGAAGCTGGCTCCCCGATAGATCCATCGGTCGGTTTGTCAGACCTATAACGCGGGAAAATGTGGACGGCGTGGGATAACTGAACAGGTTGTTTGTGACGGCCCATCCGGAGATCCCACTGGCCCCGAAAATGAGTGCGACATGTTTGCTGGGAGGGTCCATCTTGGAAAAAGACCAGATCACATGATGTGCCAGCCGGTAACTTGTCCTCAGCGGGGGGTTCTCATCTTGATAAAGCGACAATTGGGAGGCTAGAAAGAAGAGATGGATCAAAGAGTTTTACGGGGCATATGTCGCTTCTTTATCACTGAGCAGATGGCCGTGATGTTTGGTTAGAAGCTGACGGTCTAGACCCCGAGTCTTGAGTGTTTACCGGATTATACTGCCTACAGCAGGCCTTGGACCGAGCTGTCGGATTCGAACCCTAGTCGCCCGTTGCCTGTCCCGGGCCGCGGGGTTTGAACTGTGTAGTTGCACAGAGAGTGCGAGTGGCCGAATCGCATTCTTCAGCGAAGAAGCGCTAGACCCCTGCGATGAAGCATTGGTGGGAAAAACGAAGTAAGTATCCTCTAATGTAGCCTTACATCATGGTTCGCTTCACTGCTCTCAGCTTTCGAAATCGTGTGTAAAGACAAAGCAGTAGTCTCCAAGCGGTACCAAGGTAGCTGAACAGACTGAGGAGGTTCGAGAAGGAGCTATACCTCAAGAAGAGCAAATGTCACGATAATGAGACTTGACTGCAAACCTTTGTTTGACATGCAGTGTCCTCAAGTCATTATCCACGGAGCAAGACGCTATGAAATGTTATTTCACTTCCCGCTTGTTTCAATAGCCCAAGAAAGGTTTCGTTCCAACTTCGAAGCTTATAGCCAGTCTATTCACGTGCAGTCTCGTAATAGTTTGACTGTGCGTTTTACCAGCGAACCATAGCTGAGGTGATAAGAAAGGATTTCATATCGTCAATTCCTAATTTTTGTGTTGTTATGCTCGATACGGAAAGACAAGTACTCAACCATTTGTTGGGTCGGCCCCTGAATGTGCATTGAAATTCTTTCTCAGGGAAACGGCCGCCGATCACGCGGAATGAGTCGACAGAACCAGCTCAGGGGGCTTATATCAAGATTTGAATCACGGTTGGTACTTTATAAGTTATAAGCCAATGCGTTTTTCGAGGTTTGGGAAGCTTGATTGAGGTTTCAGTCTTGGGAAAAATGTTCACATTGAACCAAACACACTCTCTCCGGACTTCAAAACACGAGACTTTGCACGTGTAAGTCGCGGTTACTACCTGCTCCCGCTGAACCAGTCCAAATAATCCATGTACCTATATGTAAGGTAAGGTAGGCATCTTAGTTGAGGGGACTGATGTAAGTAAAAAGCTTGTCTAAGTTAAGGCAGCTGAGACATTAATATTAGAGCCAAAACTTGACCAAAATATGATCAAGAATCGAGGCCAATTCAATTGTGAGTGATTTAGCTGACTTAAGTTCAAACTTCCATCTCCATGGCCACGTAAGTACCTGCCACATGTCCTGTCATTAGTCGAATAGGTGAACAGGTACTCTAATCAACACATATGTCCGCGCTCATATGTCTCTATTCATACAAACCCGACAATTTTGCGGTTTGATTAGCAATATGTTCGTACTTGCAGCTCTTTGTTCTATATGCCTTACTGTAACTTGATCCGAGAACAGCTGTACCATGCGCTGCAGAGTTAAGTATCTTGAGAGCTTAGGGGACTTTGTGACACCTGTCCCAACTGACAAAGGCTAAAGCTGCCGTCGAGACCAACTTAAACGGCCCTACTTGTATTGCTACTACGCTGAGCGATGGACGAGGCAGTGAAACAGTATCAGAACTCCAGAGAATGGTCGTTTGATTGTACCTTGCTGACTTGACTTGTGATAGTGATTGAAATGGATCCGAGTCCTGGAAAGCAGCGCCAAGTCTTCAACGAAAAGCTGTCGAAACATGTCCTGGTTTGACACTGCTGCCAATGCCATATCTTTGACTGCCTTGCAAGTGCGTGTAGTTAAGACCTGGGTACACTAAGACCCGGGATGGAAAAGCTTGCTATCGATAGCTGTACCTGAGGCTGAGGGAGTAAAGTTCAAAATGGGTGATAATCATCCCTTCACTCAAGAGAGTCTGAAGTCATCTTTACAAGCAACACGCAGAAGTTTATAATACTCGGGATATTGAGCGACAAAGATTTTGCGCTGTCCGGCAGCCTGAATTAGCAATTTTGGAGTTGGCTTCGACGTGTCTGCAGTAGAATACCACTGAGTGAATTGGCGGTCAAACTGATGTGCATGTCGAAGCGAACGCGAGCACGCGAGTCAACTGTAGACGACTAAGATTTCCCCGCATGCTCGATTGCGACCTCCCGCCGGTGACCAGCGCAAGCGCTCGCCGATTTGCGCCAGTAATTATTGCCGACCGGACTTCTTGGATAGCTCGCATCGGCTACAGTGACTTCCGAGCTCAGAGTCGCATCAATTCAACGGCAACATTTGCATGCTGAGAGCTGGACTCAAATTCGAAAACGAGATGGCGAAGCTAAGGAGTCAGCAATCTCTTGGCTTTCTATTGCGATGCAGTACTAGGTGTGATCAGCGGGAGAGGGGCTTTCGGCTCGACATGACCGGTCTCGTACTCCTTGTAGATCAGTTTTCCGTGCCAACCTCAGACTCTGCGAGGCTCTTCGAGACTCTTGGCCGGGCTGTGCATGTTAGAGGACGTTCTTCAATGCGATGACTCGGTTTTGACAATGGCCATAACATGGCGTCATAACATGTTGACAAAAGGAAGATTTCCCAGTGGAAACAACAGCTCTTTTAGCCAAGAAACAAAGTGCCACACAATTCAACAGCTTGGCGACATGAACCCGCCCCTGAGTCAAAGCGCGCGCGGGAAACACTACGGAGGATGATGAACTGGAGCTTACTCCGCCCGAACGGCGATGAGCAACCAAAAGGAAGCTGGAAACACTTGTTAATCGGGTGGGGTTGCCCCCGCCCCAAGTGATTGCCAGCAGGATGTCGCTAGAGGTGACGAGAGATGTTGACAGGGAAAGATTTGGCGAGGTCGTATCAACCGCACACGTGCTCCGCCTGACCTTCCATTGAAGCTCCTGACATGCCGCCGACGACATTATGGGGAACTTTTTTGTTTGTCCGTTGCCAAATAGGATTTGAAACCCCTCTTTTTGCCTGACTCTTGGCCTGTCTCCAGTGCGAGAAACAGAGGCAAAACCCGTGCCATCTAGACTCTTGTCTGTCATGTACGGCTAAACCTTCCCCTCTTCTCGCAAACTCGTCTGATCCTACCATCATCTCGCTTATTCTTTGCTCGAAAATCCCTCGTTCACCCCTGTCTCTGCTAAGATTTCTGCCAATCCCCAAGCTAGCCTTCGTCTTTCTCGCCTCCTCCTTCCCGTTTTCTGCAAGCTTCACACCTCTAGCTACTCTTGATCATCAACCAGAGCTCCTGTGAACGCTCTCTTAAACTGCCAAGCCTGCATCATGTGCTGTTCGTTGGTTTCTGAGGCTGACCTGGGCCGCATTCCGGCGGGTCGTCTCTCCACACACACGGCGCTATGCCTGCTTGTTTAAGCTTGTCAGGACGATTTCCCGGCCCCAATCTACCTAATTCGGGCTTATCAGATGGGATCAGGAATATCGGTTCCTCAGTAATATGTCTCTTGGATTGTGGCAGTGCTGGTCCGGCCGGGGTTTGAGTTCTTTTGCTTTTGCCGCTCTGTCAGAAAGTGGAGAGCTATGATGAAGGTGAGGTTGGATAGGCAAGCTTGAAAGAGGTAGCCCGGCGAAAGCTGCCCTTGGAAGAGTATTCATATTCTCTGGGCGCCGCTTATTCGGCACGTCTTGCTTTCGAGCTCGACAGCACTTTCTCTTTTTCTACCGGGCCGTACATGACATCCCTTCATGATGGCTGACAAGTTTCTCAGCCCCAACCCCCCACATGCGGACTCCCGTTCGCGGGCCACGAGTGACGCCGACACTATTGCTCCGGACGGGTCCAATCCATTTCTCACGCCGTCCGGAACCACCGCTGCTCCCAGTACTGCTGGTGCGAGCCTCGACCTTGAAGATGTTGAATCGTCTTTGAGGCCCGACCCAGGCACGGAACGCGACTTTCACGTGGACAACAACCCATTTGCGTTTTCCCCTGGCCAACTCAACAAATTGCTGAACCCCAAGTCTCTTTCAGCTTTCAAAGCGCTCGGCGGGCTCCGAGGTATTGCTCGTGGCGTTCAGACTGACGTACGAAGCGGTCTCAGCGTCGACGAAGCAGGCGTTAGATCAAGAATCAGCTTCAATGAAGCAGTCGACAGCCACAACGATAGCAAACCGGCTTCACCATCGACCGAGAAGCATGTACCGTCTTCCGCAGCACCATTTGTGGATCGTACCCGCGTTTACGGTCGAAATATACTACCGCCAAAGAAGCCCAAGTCGATCTGGAAGCTGATGTGGATTGCTTTCAACGAGACGGTACTTATTCTCTTGACGGTTGCCGGAGTCATCTCTTTGGCACTCGGACTATACGAGACACTCGGCGTTGAAAGGCCTGCAGGAGCACCGGCTTCCGTCGACTGGGTCGAGGGCGTCGCCATCTGCGCTGCGGTCATCATAGTCGTCCTCGTCGGATCCCACAACGATTGGCAGAAGGAGAAGGCATTCGTCAGGCTGAACACCAAGAAGGATGACCGTCAAGTCAAGGTCATTCGTTCCGGGAAATCAGTCATGATCAATGTCAACGAGATCCTTGTAGGCGAGGTGCTCCATTTGGAGCCTGGCGATATGGTCCCTGCTGATGGAATCCTGATTGAAGGACACGAAGTCAAGTGCGACGAATCTTCTGCCACTGGCGAATCAGATGTTCTCAAGAAGACTGCTGGCGACCAAGTCATGAAGCTTCTGGACTCGAAACACAACAACCATGATGACCTGGACCCCTTTATCATCTCGGGATCTAAAGTTCTCGAAGGTGCGCTCTCCTTC